CATACGGACCACACTTAAAAAGAAAGTGAAACATAATATGTAACTGTGAGCCTTGTGCCATCTCATGGTTTTTTCTTTTCTTTCTAAAGTAAATTATTATGCATATGAATCATTTGGTTGTTGAGCAGCTGCAGAATTTGAATAGCCAACACATGCAAGACTTTGTGCTTATTCCAAGAAGATTCCTTCCTCATATGATCTGAGCTACAGCATGCCAATAGGATCTTCTGGCCACTGTATTCTTAAATAAACAGAAAATTGGGGTGGGGAGGGGAGGGGGAATGGGGGTTGGGGGGGTGTGTGGTGTGGGTGTTAAACTCAGCAAATGCATTGAGCACACTCCCAGGTCTTTCATGTTTTCATTGAATCCTCCCCTGTCTTGCTGCATGTATTGGGGACTTAATTTGCCTTTATCTTATGAATTCAGTTACATTGTTATTCGAGATACTGGGAGAGGTTGCATATCTAAATATTTCCTTCTCGCTCTTGTGACAAGAGGTGACTACTTATGCTGAGTTGCTTGCTGTTCATAGGGTTCTAATTTTTGCTATTTATGGAATCAGTTTGATGTGATAAAAGATGTATAAAATTGGATTTCTAATAGTTAAAAGGTCCCTTGGTAGTGTTAAACATCCATGCAACAATCATTATGCCAAAATTGTCTCCTTTTATTATAGTCCAAGATATGGAGATCAGGTTGGATTCTTACCTGGTGAGGGCTTCTTTTAATCTGATAAAAGGCTTCTGAACCCTTTTCTTTTCTTCAGTGAGAATTTCATATTCTGTTATTCCCGTCAAATCAAAATTTTGTTTCCTTCATAGAATTATTGATGATCCAATTAAATGATTTTGATGAATTGTCACACTCACCTTTTCCTACTTTGTTTTGTTCTTAGGTTGGTGGGTTGGAGAGGGCTAGGAGAAAGCACCTTAAGGAGGCATATTCAACATCTTTTTTCAATTATTCAGAACTATTCTCCACTAGTTATGGCCACAAATGTTTTGAAAAATCCATTATGATTTCAAGAAACTCTTTAAGTTGCAAGGTAAAACCTTAAGTGCTTTTGATCAAGAGAGGACAAGTAACAGACAACACAGCAAGTAACAAACGGTGAAGTCAAACATGCATATTTTAAGTCCAACTGTCTCCATATATCAAATAATGTATGGTGTTCCTTGCTCTATCAATGAAAAATTTATTGATATGACTGTCCAATTACTTTCAGTCATAAGAAACAATCCAAAACTTCCCATAAGCACAGTCTACCCTATGGAACTCCAAACAGATTAATTCCTGAAACTGTTCCCTACATGGGATCTAGTGCTAGCAACCATAATCTAGACAAATTTCTCAATGATGGGAAAAATAACAAGTTCATTAGAGTTTCTCCAACCTGTAATACATAAAAATTTTAGTTCGGAAGAAAACACTAGCAAAATATTTCCCTATTACAATTGAAACTCTCCCAGTATGTATAAATGCCTCCCCAACTGTGAATTCAGTGTGTGAAAGAATACAGAATGGATAAACTGGGACTAGGAAGAAAGAAATCTATGAAACCTGTTAAGTTCACATGAGTCAATGGATTCACATTGAAACTTAGTATTTTAACACTCAAACCCTGCCTAATTATGATTTGCAGTGAGAAAACCATCAAATCAAGATCCCACTACAGGACAGAATTCTGAACCCCAACACAGCTGATAAAGAGTGCATTGTGACTCCAATTAGACAATAAGAATGACAGTAAGAATAGAGACAAGCGAAAAAATGGTGTGCTTTGCCCTTCTTTAGTAAATTACTTATGGGAAGTTCGGAATGGTAATGGAACGCTATCATGCTAGCCATGGCATAAACATTCCCGCCATTCTATAGATTTTGCAGTTAAACCTCAGCTTGTCCAACTTGTATATGGTTTCCTACTATTCTTATGCAATGATAGAAGGGAAATGCATTTTCCTGTGGTTGACCACTTCTTAGATAGGCATGCAACCCAGAACACTCTCATTCACTTATTACATTAAGTCAACAGGTTTTTCATTAAACATTTTGAAAGCAAAGGAAACAAGAAAAGAGAGATTGGATTGCCTCCCTTTGCACGTGTTTCACCTTCAAAGCTAATCTTGAAACTACTGAAAGTATGTGGAAATGCTAGTAGAATGATCATGCTGAAAACCGCGGAATGAGAGGAAAGCACATGTCCCTCTATTCAGTCTTAAAAGTGCTCCCTACTAAAAATATAGGACTAACTTTTTTTGTTACTATGGACATTAATCTTTCATGTGAGCCTTGTGATTATGCTGGTTTGTAAAATCTTATGGATTAATGAATTTCGTGGAACGTGGTACTGTTATCAATCGTTCTGCATCTGTCATGGAGCATTTTAATTAGCTAATTTGACATTATAAGTTGGTGAACTATGCAATACATTCTTGCTCAAACTCAAAGATTATGGAAATAGTCAGCTACCATGGCCTTCAATTCAGATAACCAAGTTATAATACCCACACATACATTACATAGTGCATATTTACAACAAAGATAGAAAAAAGCATCTTGAAAAAAAAATAACTAACCGCCTTGGTAAACTCGATCCTCAGCGGGTTGCCTGCAACAGGAAAACCCTGGAGGGACTCCATGGCGGCAATTGCTTCGTCTTCCCTCTTGAAATTAAGAAAGGCGTAACTCCGGCCGGGCTGGAAGGCCACGCTTTCGAGCTCCCCGAACTGAAGAAAGTGCTCAGTGAGGTCGTTCTCCATGATACTATGAGAGAGGTTCCCAACCCAGAGGTGTCTGGACGGCGGAGCTTTGCCATTCTTGGAGTCGAAACGCCGGGCACCGCCGCCGCCCCCTCGATTTTCAGGATGCTCCATCCGAAACCGGTCCCTTCCTCCTCCGCCCCGACCCGTCTGATTATCGAAAACCGAACAAAATTGAGAGGTCCAAATCAAACACAAGCACAGTGAACTGTGAACTTGTACAATGAAGTAAACTGAAATCAATAAATTTTCGTTCGGTTTCTGAGATTGGATTGATTGGCAACACTTACCATAGTGTTTTCAGTGATAAATGCACAGTGATTTCAAACGACGTTTTTTCTCTTTCAACAAAAAAAACGACGTTTTTGGAACAACTATGTGAAGTGTAAATCCAAAGCCTTCTCTTCTTCTCTCTACTTTGAATAGTGAAGATTACAGAGAACGATAGTCTCTCAGTCACTCTTTCACTGCCACTCTCTTCACAGCCTCTTCAAGTTTACAGCTTCTAGGGTTTGAGAATTGGGATTGAGCAAACCATCTTAACCCCTTTTTTCTTTCCTTTTTTTTTCTTCCTTTTATGTTTTGGTGCGTCTGTAGCGCAGGAGATTAGAAAGGGAATAGGATAAGGTAGAATTTCCTCAACAACTGCAAAAGGACCAAGTAGCAATTTGCCAAATATTTTCGAGTAAGACAACAGACTTTGGGACCAGTTCATGAATAAAGATAATACAAATTTATAAATAAACCCAATCCTAGATATGTATTTATAAAAAAACTCAAGCACTATTTAAACATAGAAACACACTCAAAATCAATCCCAAAGTCAACTTTTTTGGTGTGTTTATAAATGGGTTTTGAGTGTGTGTAATGATGGGTTTTGGGTGTGTTTATATGTTCAAATAGTGCTGGGGTTTTTTTATAATTTCAACCCCCATTTTGGGTGTTTTAGTGAAACTCCCGAAAGATAAATAGATAATGTCTCTTTTACCTTACTGTATTACAGAAACAGCAAGGGTATTATTGAGATAATACCATCTCGATGTCCTTTTAGCTCATGGTTCTCTTCTCCAGTGGTTCACCACTGTCAGTAGGTCAAACAAATGCAAACTCTCTTTTCAATAATGAAAGCTTGAGCCACTAGAGTGGTTCCTTGCAAAATTGGGCAAACAAAAAATTAAAAATTGAAACTTTTACTTAATCTTTGTATTGGAGAACATTTTTGCTCAATGGTGGTGAGCATTTTACGGCACTAATTGTTGTTGGACGAGTGTGATTTAATCTACCTGCTACATTAATCTCAAAAATTCAACTCATCCAATAGTCACATTGATATGGTGATAATGCTCACCACCCTTGCCACCACATTAACTGCCGTTGGATGAGTGTGATTTAATCGTACATGCTAAATGAATCTCAAAAATTCAACTCATCCAACAACTGTTAATATGGTGGTAATGCTCACCACCAATTTGGTGAGCAAAAATGTTCTCTTTGTATTGTGCTAACTGCCTAGGCTCCATTGAGATAATGAGATACTGTTTCTAAAGTTCAAAATAGCACAAAGCTTAAACCAAATTTTGAAGTTCCATAATCTATTATTAGCCTAAAGAAGAGCCTCAAAATCCAATATAAACAACCTTCACAGCTCTGAAGATGAAGAACAAGTCTAATGTCTGGCAAATAGCCAATATTAATGGATGATTGGCTACTAAGATCCATGTAAACCAACGTTGAAAATTTCATATTGATACTGTACATTACATAATTGAACTATATCTGGGAAAATAATACATCATTTGCTAAATCTTAGTTTGACTCATACCATTCCTATTTTTTTGAACATCAATTTAAACTATATCCTATAAACAACTATCTTTTCCCTGCTCCAATGTGGTGTGGGATGGAAACGTATCCACTTAGCTATCATGAGTATTTCAACTTGGAAATCTGTCCAGCATCTTCAGAAGATCCACCTACGAAGTACTCATAATCGTCAAGGTTTCAGGAGCTACCGGCAAAACCACTTTTGAGTATTAGATTCACTTCATTGACTCAGTTACTGCTTTGGTTTCTGGGGCTTATCCCCTGCAGAAATGTGCATGAAGTCATAAGTAAGAAACATACTGGACAGAGAGATATTTTGTAGATAAGAAATGAACTCAGTCTGTTCTCCATTATATTGAATGTGCAAGCAGCAAAATAATCCTTCAAAATGGAAGTACTATAAAATAAAGATGCATTCACTGCAAAAATGTATCAAGATATGGCATTTCCACATCGACATAATTGGAGCAAAAGCCTTCATACAAAATGAGACGAAACTTTTAGAACTCTGAATCTAATGGAAATTAGATAAATTATCCACTGGCCACTTGAGGGAAAAGGAGGGGATAACTCACGTATTGCTTTAGGATCTCTATGTACAAAGAAGCTTGCCGCGACAATAATGTAGCAGAGAATGAGCATTAGTCCTTTAAAGTAATTAGAAGTTCCCTCCTGCAAGTTCAAATTAAATCCATGTAAACAAAAAATACAGAAAAAAAATAATCACTGCAAACAAAAGGAGACACCACAAACCCCGTTTCTTCCATGTGCGTGTTTGAAGCAGTGTATGTATCAGTATTGGATCTCGCAAATTTATTTAAAACTTATTGATGTTTACCTTTACTATACCAACTTTAAAATACAAGTGTTAAATTTAAGGGCCCGTTTGATAACCATTTCAATTTTAGTTTTTAGTTCTCATTTTTTGTGCTATTCATAGAGGATAAAGAGGGAGAATGGAAGTGAGAATGAGAGTGGAAATAAGATTGAGAGGGAAGATGAGCGGGGAGGATGGGAGGGAGGAGTAACAAAAGTGAAAACAAAAATTGAAATCTATTTGAAATTGTTTTCACTTTCAAGTTTTTGTTTTCACTTTTGTTATTCCTCCCTCCCATCCTCCCCTCTCATCCTCTCTCTCAATCTCATCCTCATTCCCATTCTCACTCTCATTTTTCTCTGTACTCTAGAACAAAAAATAAAAAATAAAAACTAAAAACTAAAATTGAAATGGTTATCAAACAGGCCCTAAGCTTTCCAAACTTGCCATTCACAACTCAAAGAACATGGAGTAACTCATGGTACATTCTACAGTTTCCCTTATAAAAGCAATCAAGTAACCATTACCGATGAAAATAGAAAAGATAATTTACTCAAATGACGAACCTGTAGCATGAAGGCTACTACTAAAACAGTTATGAAAAGTGTGGCTGTCTCAAACAGTTGGAAATCTAAGTCCATAGGGCACCCCATCACCCACCCAACCACCACACAAAATGGAATCTGCAGCAATAGAAACAACAATAGAGGATTTAAAAAAGTAATAACCACAAAATGAAGAAAAAAAGAGCAATAAATTCTTCCAGAACATTTATGTTCCAGCTATAATTGTTACGAAACAACAATAAGCAATATATATTTGAAAACATGAAAAAAATTCACAACAGATAGCTGCATTTACATACTGCACAGACTCAATCATAGTATCAGGATTAAGAACCACACAATGCACAAGTTTTTTAACGATAAATGTCAGTCTAGATCCATATGATATTTGGTACTCACTCCAAACATAGATATCTGGGTTGATGAGCCTATTGCCACTCCCAAAGTTATATCCTGCATGAGACATTGAGAAAAATTCAACAAGAATATAATGACAAGTCGTGCATGATTGTATTATGGCACCAACAGGACAACGACTTACAAGCTTGTCCTTCATGGCAAACATAACAGCACCTGCATGCTCTGCTGCGTTCCCAACGATTGGCAGCAGAATAACACTAATAAATGCAACCGGAATGTTCATTGCAACAGATGCACCCTGCAAGCATTAATATAATATAATACCATAAGAATAACTTGGAAATATATAGATACTACATAAGAAATTCGTCACTACAAAAACCATAAGAACAGTTATGAAAATTACAAATCATCCAAAATCAGAGTTGTCATACACCTGAAAGGGAGATAAATAATATAAAAACTTAGGATAATAAGATAATTTGCAGAAGGTATTACCTCTATTGCATTAACTAAATATTCTGAGAGGACTGAAATCCATGCAGTTAGAATAGATAGCCATATTATGGATTCCCACTTAGAGATCTCAGGTTCCTCTTCATCATCTGAAATTTCTTCAGCGTGATTCTCTGCCTGATTTTATGCCAAGTATACACAATCAGATCACATAACGGAGATTCTGCACAAACTGTTTCAGAGAGAGAGAGAGAGAGAACATAACAGGCATTTTTTGTATTTCAGTGCTTACTTTCCTTTTAAGTGAGCATGACAACCAAACTTCACTTATTTGATTTCTGTCTTCAGCCAATAAAATATTCATTTTTACATGGTATGATTCATTAAATAATGAGTTAAAACTTGTTCGCAAACAAATCAAACCAGAAGAATCATTGTTCCCCAAAACAATACATATGTAGAACATTTGCATTGAGAAAAAAATGAATTTAAAGAATTTTGAGTGGTTAGGCTTTCTCCATATTCAATTTCATCAGACACCAGAACAGTGAGAGGGTAGGAATTAGTAACGTGGTATGAGGTCCTCATTGGAGAAGACCAGAAAGAAAGTATTAAATAAATTCTTTTGGTATGAGGTCCTCATTAGTAAATTCTTTTGCTACCAACCTGATCAACTGGAACATATAAATTCTGCTGGCTCTTCAACTGAAAGAACAGATAGGAAGCATACGCTACAAGCATAATGCAGCTGGTAAATCTTGAAAGGGCTAATTCAGATTTCCCGAAGTGCAACTCTGTGCGAGTAGAGTGCAGTACAGCTGGAAAGAGCAGACCCATGACCGCCATCAATAGCAATCCAGAGCTCACTGCAGCAGTTGCCTGAGAATATAGGAACTTTGAGCTTTAAGAAAAAAAAATACGAATGGTAGAAGACAGACACGGTTCTCTTTTTTTATACTAACCAAGCATTAGTGATGAAGAAAGAAAACATACCTTGTTGAAAACTTGTTCCCTCTTTGAAAACACAAGTCCACCAGCAAAGAAAGCACATCCAAGCACCAGCAACATGTTTGACAGAATTGAGCCTAGTAAAGACTGTTGAACAACACGAATCATGCCACGTCTCAGAGCATAAATTGATATTATCAGTTCTGTTGCATTTCCAAAGGTGGCATTTAAAAGCCCTCCAACTGCAAAATTTAAGACATAATTTGAGTCATGGCATAAAAATTTTAGATCAACGGAATGGCTGCTAAATGTAAAGCTAGTACAATAGCTTCAAAATTTGGTCCTTATTAATGGTCGAAAAGAAAAGAATGATACTTGTATTAGCTACACATGTACCTGTTGGTCCAGTATAGCAAGCCAGCTGCCTGCATCAAAGAAGCCAAGCTATATTAGGTAATCAATAATGCACATTAATTGCAAAGTTAGTATGGATGGCCGGCTCACGTGCACGTGGATTAAATCCTAATATGCTCCAAAATAAATGTAGGTTCTCAAATACATCAAGTTAACTAGATATTTATTCAGACATGGCTGTTGGATTCACTTGTGAACATAGATTTTGGGACCTATAATCAGAACCCACATGGCCACTCCCATGCGCTGTTGAGCTCAACAAGAAACTCATAAACATTTATGTTTGCAAATAAAGAAAATACAAAGAGAATGCAAGAAATCTTACTCTGTTACATATCCTAATCGCTCAGCCAAAGGTATGATGCCCAACAAGCTTAAAAGGAAGACCCAACCCTAAAATCCAATAAATGAATCAAATAACCAAGTACACAATCATATGAGGATCCGAACAATTCACATGCAGAAACAGATAAAGAAAACTCACACGATGGCCGGAAAATTTATCAACCACGATCGCTAAAGGGCCAAAAGGCATGAGAAAGTTAATTTTGGCAGAGAAAACTACAATCTTGATGCTATCAACCACCGTATTCCCCATGGCCTGGGGAGAACAGTCTCCTGGACCACCAGAATATAGAGATCTGAGGGGAGCCTCATCCAAGGAATGTTTGTCAGGACCAACTAGGCTCTGGTCCTCATACTCAAACGCTGGTTTGGGCTCCACTGATCCCATCTGTGGAACCAAAATCTTTTTTAATATCAGAGATTATCAATACCAATAGCAAATGCCTTTGATACCATGCACAGCTAAAGATTAATAACTAACCTCGACATGGGAATCTATTTTTACTGTGGCTGCACCATTGTTGTGGTTGTTGTTGTTATCGTTGTTGTAAAAATGGTTATCAGTATCCATGGGGAGGTAGTACAATTCTATGCCAAGAAATCAACAAGAATTCCATCTCCGAAAGAAAGCATCACTGTTTCATCACATTCTCCACAATCAAACATACATACATACAAGTTTGCACAAATCTGTCAAATCATCATGGCTAATACCTACATACATAAATATACATCCGATCTAAGTATAGGTTCTTTACCTGTTCTAAAAAATCCCATACGAAATTTTGGATAATAGTATCAATTTCACAAAAAAAAAAAAAAAAAAAAAAAAAAAAAAAAAAAAAGTAAGTAGAGAATCTGCCAAAGTAAGATGACCTATACAAACCAACAACATGAATTTCTCAACCACAACAATCAAAACAAGAACAAGAACCATGGCAAGTAGAGAAACTAACCTTGTGGCAATGGAATTATATACATATGCATGTAACTCAATTGCAGTTGATGGATGGCATCTTGGGCTAGACCAAATGAACATGCAAATTAGTAACAAAATTGAATTTTGCCTCCTTGTCTCAATAAATCCAAGAATCCTTCCAAACTAAACGAGCAATGGAGGGCAGAAGATATGAAGCAAAGAAGGTAGTTTATTGGGTGTAAATTGATGGTTTTTGATAAAAAGCGGTAAACAACGTTGAAGGCAGTAGGAAACACATCTGTGAATGTGATCCACAGCCATCCAGAGCCCGCCATTCTCGCCCATATCTCCATTACTATTTTCAGACATGCAAAGCACATTTCTTTCTTTCAATTCAATAACTTTCTCTCACAGTCTCACTTTTTTTCCGTTCTCATAGCAGAAAAAACGTTGCACGATTCACACCGACCGATCCCTCTCTCAAATTTTCACATTAACCACTTTTCCTTTTATAAATAAACAAAAAAATCATCCAATTTCATATGAAAATCTTTGGGCCGGTCCAGTCTGAGCTATTTGAATTATGTACAGTCCAATATCCTCTGACCCAAACAAAAAAAAAAAAAAAAAAAAATAAACAGCTTCGGCTACTAATCCGACACAGCTATACGACGTCGTATCACTCTCGTGTTTAGTACGAGAACCGAAAGGACCTCGACGGTGAACGTAGTTGCAGAGAGTCAGAGAACTACAAATGAAAAGCAAGAGACGGACGGTTAAGCCTCGGTCTGTGAAAAGCTCCAGACTTTTCTCTAGGGCACCGCCCCGGCTCTTCACTCAGGTTAGCAACTACTAAATTCCTGAAATTTCAAATCTTTTATCTGCTTTTTTTTTTCTTGTTGAAACTTGAAATACTTGTGATTGAGTCCATTGAATCCTATTGCTTGTTGTTAGGATGAGCATGATGATGATGATGATGAGGATTTGAGTTCTGGGTTAAGCAAAGAACAGTGCTTGTTGAAGAATCTATATGGAGTTCGATAGGTTAGAAGTAGATAATTGTGTTAGGTGTAATGGTGGTAGTGGGAACAGGAAATTGTTGGTTTGTACTGAGATGGGTTGCCCAATTGCTCTGCATGTGGAGTGTATGTGTGCTAAACCTGTGTTTGATGAAATGGGCAATTTTTACTGTCCTTATTGTGCATATAAACTGAAGTTTGTGCGGACTCAGAAGCTGAGGAGAAAGGCAATGGCTTCCAAGAGAGTCCTGTCCGAGTTTATTGATGTCGGAAAGGGAAATGGTTGCGGCTATGGTGATGGGCAGGGTGGTGGTGAAGTTCGGGATCAGACTCTGGGGATTGAAGGAGGTGAACCCGAGCAAGGGGACAATGAGCCGAGGAGGGAGATTGAAAATGTAGGAGGTGGAGAGAGAATAGATGAGGACCAGCAGGAGGGGGAAGTTGTTGAAGAGACACCTGAAGTGGATGCAGAACCTGAGAATGCTTGTTATGTACAAGAAAAGACAAATAAGGACCATGGACATGATGGATTAGACCAAGGAGATGAGGAAGGTATAAGGGTGTCTAAGGAGAATGAAGACAAAAGTGACGATGAAGAACAAAGGCAACCAGAAGCAAACGAGGTACCTGCAAATGGCACTGTTGTGTCCGAATCTGAGGAGTTAGATACTGGGTCTCCTCTAGTGCGGAAGAAGCGTTTCAAGAGAAAAGCTCAAAAGGCAGAACAGCCTCAGAATTTAGCTTCATTAAGGACAGTGCCTTCTCCATCAAGGGAATCATCCTCTTGTCAAACAAGTTTTGTGGAGGATTCTAAAAAGCAAAATGAGAAAGCTAAAACCTTTTCCAAGAAGGAAATAGAAGATCACGAATTTACAAGGTGATCATGAGTTATGTTATTAATTTATCATGAGTTATGTTATTAATTTTAAGTTTACTTTTTTTATAAGTTTATATATGGAGTCTGGTTTTGTTTTCTATAAAAATAGTAGATGGATTCATTTGATATTCTTATGCAATTAGTACCAATTGATAATAATTTATTTATCCTATTATGCTGCAGAAACTTGGTACTTCCCAATGGGAAGCGCAAGAAATTAAACTGGACAGGTGAAGAGGTAGAAATGTTAAAGGTATTTGTTTGTGTTTCCCTTCCTGCCTTTCTGGAAATGATTTCATCTTCTGAAATAGTATCATCTAATCCCTGCCGAGAGTATGTTGATGCCTAACTGATTTGTATCACTGGGAGTGTCAAAATTTTCAAATTATGTGTTTTGTACGTAGCCTTGCATATGCCGAGCTCTCTTTTTCTTTCTGATTTTGTAAAGTTATCAGATTTGTTCTTAAGAATATTTGCATAGATAAATCAGAGAAAGGTTAAAAAATATTGCTGGCCAAGGTATAAAAAATGCAATTGCACGACTCAATTGGGGTCAGATCTGCGTAGGCTAAGGACATTATCTTCTGATTTGTTCAGGAGGGAGTGAGAATTTATAAAGCAAAAGGCAAAAAGATCCCCTGGACGCAAATTTTGGAATTTGGTCATAACGTATTTCACATAACCCGTCTTCCAGCCGATCTTAAGGATAAATGGAGGAACTTGATTGGGCGAAGGTGAACTCCACTTTGGACTCAAAGAAAGCAGGTAACTTTGGTACCCATAGTTCATTTTTTTATAAGAAATATGTGGATCACTAATTCTGTTGATTTTCAATTTTTCATATTATATTTGAGAACTTTCTATGCAAGGAGGGTGTTTGGCTTGGGCGTAATAGGTAAACATATGTAGCTAGTCTTTCCTTATTAACTACATGCTCAAATCAAAATATACTTCATTGCCAATTGGATATTAAATTTCTCACCTGTCAACCTTAGCAATGGTGATGACATCAACTATTCTTGCGTCAGAAATAAATGACTTTGGAATAGCATAATGCTGAAGGATTTTGAGCAATAAGGTATTTTTTTAATGGTTTCTGGAGCCTTAAAACTTCTGACAAGTAGTATTAACAATCTAGGCATCTTTCTGGTAGCATGCAAGTGAGACAGGTAGAGATACTTTATGTATGTCAAATGAGCAATTAAAAGCTTTGCCTTTGGTTTGAGTTTTAATTATCTTCACAGAATTAGGTTGTTGGGGGTGCTTTTCCTAATTCATGCAGGGGGGTTCATTGGGATAGGAAACAAGTTGGATTTGGGCTCGTTTGGTGCTAGCATTGGATTGGATAGGATAACTCCCTATATTTAAAGCATGTTAAGGAAGAAATGAAAAAAAAATAAAAAATAAAAAATTACCGAGTTGAAGGTAGAATATTGATTATTCACGAAGAAAATTTATCCCATCTAATCCCCACAAAATGGTAGGATACCAACACCTTATAACTTCTTCCTCCTAATCCCCCCAAAATGAAAAATCATTCACCTCTACCTTCATTTATGCCTTCAACATACCTTAGATTTGGTGACTTATCCAATCCTAGACACCAAAGGAGCCATTAATGTGCAACCGCAGCTTCGTTTATGTCAGTTATGAATGCCTGAACCATTCATTTATCCTTAATTTCTAGTTTTTATAAGGACTTGGTAAAGTACATAGAGCCCTGTTTTTTAAGTTGTCTAATCATAACTATGCGGAGAGATTGATGTAAACTAAAGAGGTTCTCTTATCTCTTGAATTCCTTGATTAAACATTCTCAGTAGCCAATTTCTTTTCTTAATTTTTATTTTAAGAATTGTAGTGGGTCTGTAACATAACATGTATTAATTTTACCAAACTGATTTTGTTTCTACAGATAACGACAGTGTGGTTGACTAATGCATGACATCTCAGCTAAAAAAAAGTTCATCCTCACTGTTTAAGACGCAGGCATTGTCATGAAGTAATTCAAAACTGCTTCAGCCATGAAGATTTTTTTTTTTCAGAACCACATTTTGCACTGTATTTTTTGTAAAGCTTTATAAAAGGGGTGCATCTGTAACACCAGTTGCATGCTGAACTTTCAAATATCAAGCTTTGGGCCCAACTTACATTTTTCTCTAACATGGGTATTATATTTCTTCTGGTTTTATCAGCTTATTTAAACTATTTAATTAAAAATGTGATCTCTGAGAAGGATAACTGAACATTTGGCAAAAACTTTATTTGAGATAGAAGAGAGCAAATTCCTGAGGTCTCTTCCCCTATAATTACATCGTGAAATATACATTACAGGAACAGAAGAGTGAAGAGCTCAAAGTAGACTTGTTAAGTTGCTGCTAAAGCTGCGTACTCGGGACTTCTCTCTCAGCCCAGTAACCAGAAAGAAAGAAAGAAGATTCGTGATCAGCATTAAACAGGTACAAAAACATGGGATGTGGCTAGATTACTGTTCCACTGGGAATCAAGGCATCCTTGATCACTGTCACGATCCCGCTCTTTATGAAATATCCATCTGTTTCTCTCGCAGCTTCTTGCACATTGTCACTGTTAATAATCTGTAATTTACAGTGTCAATCTTCAGTTTCACAAAGATAAATGAATATAAAATGTTTCGAGCAATCATCAAAGAAAAAGAACAAAGTAAAATTTTGAATTAATAACACAACATTGCCTACAATGCATAAGTAGGAAACAGGAAGCTAGGTGCATATTGCCACTTGAGAATTTTAAGTCTGATATAATTTGCAGCAAGGTTTCTATGTTCTGTTCTCTCTCTCTCTCTCTCTCTCTCTCAAGCTTTCACCTACAATAGAGCATGGGGTCTGTCACCTGGTTTCTCCAGGTCCAAACCCCACACACCCTTCAGCAGCTTTTAGCTCTGCCAGTTGAGCATAGTATCATGAAATTTCCATTTCTCAACTAGGTCCCAAGTCAAGATTCCATTCCTATTCTCATTTCATAGCCTTCTCTGATCTGTTTCCTCAAATGAAAACAAAAAAACAAAATCATGTTAAACTGATAGATCCTAACCTTCACATTTTCGCCAATTCGAGCATTCTTGTCAATTATAGCTCTCTTAATGTGAGAACTCTTGCCAATACCAATTGGAACACTACCCTTTGCAGCCAGAAACCTCCTGTCAGCATCCGTCTGTAACAATCATAGTAAATGCATCAGTATAATCTACTCAACCCACAGAAATGTAAAACGAAAAATGACAAGATTTCTAAAACAGAAAGACGTTTTTCAGTCATCTCTGGACTGAGAAAGCAGTAGGTTTTAAATAAAGAGCAGGATTTACCTCATAGTAGTCTGCTCCCATCAGTAATGTGTCCTCAATGACAGCACCCTCCGAAATACAAGATCGAAGCCCAACGACTGAATGGTGAATTTTACAGTTCTGCAATAGGCAAAAGACGGGTGGGTTAAATGAGCATGACTGCAATAAGTTATGTTGATTCCCGTCATCTTTTCACAATAGGATATAGATGTAAACTTTTTTGACATTGAAGAGAACAGGGACTAGCCGACAAGGACTTCACAGTAAACCAGAACAAGTAAGCAGAATGCTGACTTTTCCAACAAGAACTCACCTTTATCACACATCCCTCGCCAATAACACTATCTGTGACATCAGCATCGAGCATCTTTGATGGAGGCAAATACCGAGGTTGGGTGTAGATTGGGGAGGAACGATCATAGAAGCTACAATATAAAGTTGAAAATTAGCCCGGCATACAACATCCAGATCCAGCTGATAGCATACCATATCAATTGGTGCAACAAAACAGAAGCATCAATAAACTAGTTTTAGAACGAAACGTACCTGAAATCTGGAACTGGTTTTTTGGTTATCCCTAAATTTGCATTGTAGAAAGCCTCAATGGTACCAATGTCTTCCCAGTAGCCATCATACAGATAGGCTTGAACCTGTAGACATTAAACAATTAGTACTCTGGAAGCTCGGATTCTAGAGACAGGGAAGCAGGGGAACAAAATGATGGCAACACTGGGAAACCTCTAGCAGACCATACTGATTCATTTATGGCCACTTATTTTCTTCACTAGAAATCACTTTGTTCAGTTTCTGATGAAAGATATTTGAAATCGAGTCAGACTAGGCTATAATGAAGCTCCACTTGCTAATTTTGCTTAAAAAATTTAATAGAACTTGGGATTTTAACTCCACAGGAGCTTGGGACCAACTCTTAACAATTATTCCATTATTTTTCCCCCAAAGTGGACATAAAAAAGAAGAACCTTGTGATTGAAAGGAATGCAGAGACAACAGAAATAGAATGTATGAAATGAAAACTTACTCTCAAACCCATGGAAGTCGCACCTGGAATAACTTCACTCCCAAAATCATTTGCTCCAGGAAACTTGTCCCGAAGTAGATCTAACATCACATTTTTGCTCACAACATATATACCCATACTAGCAATATAAGGCATCTCTTTAGCTCTCTGATCGTCAAGACCCAAGATAGTAGTATCAACCTAAAACAAAACAGAAACAATAATATTTTGCCTCACTAATCAATTAAAACTAAAACCACAAACACTCCTAGGTTTCTCAGAAAACTCAATCGTTACCTGCATAGCTTTGAGTTGCTCCCCTTTAGGTTTCTCAGCAAACTCAATAATGCGTCCCTCGTCATCAATCTTCATCAAACCAAAGGCAGTAGCACGCTTCTCATCCATGGGCAGAGCAGCCACAGTGATATCTGCATCAGTTTCTCTATGTGCCTGAATAAACCTCTCATAGTCCATCCTATACAAGTGGTCTCCAGCAAGAACCAAAAACTCCAACACATTGTGTTCCTCAAACAACCACAAGTACTGCCTCACGGCATCTGCGGTACCCTGTAAACCACCAAAACCAAATATCCCAACTCAGAAAACCAATCAAAACCCAATTGCCAACACAACCCCACAAGCGCAAAAACAAGCGTTTTAATCACCTGAAACCAATTGGGATTCTCTGGGCTCTGTTGGGCAGCAAGAACCTCAACAAAGCCTTCATTTTTATATCCACCCATGTTACTAGCATAAGCACGAGAAAGATGGCGATTCAGAGAGGCGGAATTGAACTGGGTCAGCACATAGATCTTGGATACGTTGCTGTTGAGGCAATTACTGACTGGAATATCGATCAGTCTGTAGTTTGCTCCCAATGGAACGGCAGGCTTTGCACGCTTCTTGGTCAAGGGGTAGAGCCTCGTCCCAGCTCCACCACCCAGTATAATCCCCAACACACTCTAACATACAACACACCATAATTCAATCAAAACAAGAACGCAATATGTTAATGCAGAGAACAAAAGCAGCAAAAATGGAGGTACAAATAAACACTCACACGGCTTGCGTCGGGATCAAGACATGTCTGCGAGTTCTTGGAATCCGAAACAGCCTTCGGAGACACAACCAACGGTGGGGCTCTGTGAGTGGGGCATTTCCTCAAACAAGTGCTGGCTGTTGGGATTTTGGTCCCGGAGAGATGAGAGCCACTAAAGGAGAGGCCTCTGCTGCTTCTGCAGAGACTCGCGTTCTGGGTCTGCTTCGAAGCATTCGGGGACATCGACGATGATCGGGGCCTGAGCACTCCGCTCGCTGCCATTGAAGAGGAAGCCATGGAAGAATTCGGAAGTTGCAGAGAGAGAGAGAGAGAGTCGAAGTGGAGTGTAGAGAGTGGCAGCTAAGATTTGATGAGTTTTCGGGACGCGTTTGCCCTCCGGCTTTTAGTGTTTATTACGCAACCAACCTTGGGAGGTATTTGAAACTGGGAGGTTGAGGGAGGGGGGTAATTTCGAATTTTTACAATCTAAATTCACGTATACATGTGGTATTGAATAAATAATTAATAATAGTAAAAAAAAGAACGGAAGGGAAGGAGGACCAAAAATCTTTCGAAATTTGCGCTTATATTAATAAGTGGATGTCATTTCACGTCAGGGCGACCGGTAGATTGATGGATCGATGGATCGATGACAAGGTCACATGTGGCATGTGGGGTTTTGCCTAATATTTTGTGTCACATGTCACCACTTTTGCTTCTCACCGTCTATTTTTTCTTTGTATAATATAAAAAATACGAAGCAAATTTTAACTCTAGTTACAAACTTAGCTTGACAATTTGACAAAGGAGCACTATACTTCAAGGCGATTATTGTCCCGTCACGTCAGACTTATATTGTTAGACTGTGAATTCAAATTATTGATTAAGTTAATTATTATTTAATACGCAACTGAAATCACTGCTCGATAGCATAAGTATTTTTTTAATAACACAAATTTGATAAAAACAAAACAAGTGTTACTATTTTATTACCTACTTGGCATACATAGTGAAGGCATAATGGAGTAGAATGTTCTACACTTGAATTGAACCATGAGGTGGGTATTGACAAGTTGCAGAAAATAACACCACCATTGCTAAATTCCAAGTTGTTGTGTCACCCTCAATCCTAGAATGAGCATGTTGGTTCTACAAGTTGTTACTTTTCTTCCCAGCCATTTTAGGACCTCCATGATCGTGTATTATCTCACAAATTTGACATAGACGCAGGTGCATACTTTTAGATAAAACTAAGCTGGCAAATATTCTTGCAGTGCCTTGGAGCTTCAGAATTAATTAAAGCTTGCTTTCATTAGGATGAGAGATACCAATAATAGAATAGGATTTGCCCTCCTTCCAAACACATAGGCCAAACAGCCGGCAAATAAAAATATTAAATAAATTTATGCAACATTCCCTGTATGCCTGGCTGGTTCGTTTATCACACATCAGTTCTTTTTTTTCTGCTCATGATCTTTTTGTTCAGATAGTGCAAATCCTCACATGGAATAAAGGACAAAGCAAGGACAAACATTTCAGATTTGAATGTCGCAGCTGTGGTGATCTAGTGATCAGATCCTGTCCCAAATCAGCCAACTCTAGCTTCAACAGCTCAATCCTAAACACAGTTAACAATTTGAGTCAAACTGGTCACACAAACTTCTAGAAATGCTGCAACCCCTATTTCTACGACACTAGGGGCTCGTTTGGGAGTGCTTCTAGAATAGTTAAAAGCGTTTTCTGACAACCAAAAGCGCTTCTGATAGCGTTTGGTAAAAATGTTTCGAAGCGCTTTTAGGCCATAAAAGCGCTTTCTGGAGAAGCACCTGTCATGTGCTTCTTCAAGAAGCACTCCCAAGTGCTTTTCCAAGAAGCACTTATGTTTCTTATGAAAATTTCAATGTCTTTATAATAAAAGCGCTCTTGGTAGAAGCACTTATAAGTAGAAGTGATTCCTAGAGAAGCACTCCCAAACTAGCCCTAGATCAGCTCACCAACCAAACCAAAAAAGAGTTTTATGTTTAAGCTCTGACGTTGAAGTAGTTTTATGTTTAAGCTCTAGATGTTGAACATAGACCCATCAATCACAGTAAGAGCCCAAAGTGTTTTCAACCTGAGGCACCAAACAATAAATCTTGTCCCAGCCTCTAATGTCACAAACACCTGAGATTTAACCATATAACGCGCGCCACGGCTCCTTATCGTCCTTTGTCTTCCGTGTTGGATTCCATGTGATTTTGTCTCTTGAAAAGTAGAGGTTCAAAGTGCTTGCCAAGAGTTCTCCTATCTCATTAAGTATCTGGATAAAAAACCACTTAGAGTTAGATGGTAAACGTACAAGATCTCTTAAATGTAGAAATAGAGAGGGTTTAGGTAACCTGAATTTTGATGGTTTAGCTAAAGTAATAAAAAAGTATATACCTCAAGCTCTTCTTTATCAGAAATGCGCAGACCTCTTTCCCCTATAAGAACATAAGTGGGCAACTTCAAAACACGGACCAACTGAAGAAAGCAAGCTAAAGGTTCATGATGAATCTGCATCGTTGGTGGTGGCTTCTGGGTTCCGGTTGCCATGGCCTTGCTTATGGCTGTTTCTGACCCTATCTCTGTACCATAAAGCGAAACTTTTCCTTCAAATTTTGTTGCAGATTTACTTTCCAACTTAAGCTTAGATGATGCTACGACAAATGGGGCAACAATTGTGGGAATTGAGGATGATTTTTGCCCTGCTATTTGAGCTAGAACTTCATTAACAGCGCATGCAAGTATTGGTGGTTCATGATATTGCATAAGCAACAGAGACACCTGAAAGATAAAAATTTGAAGATAAATTTATTTGAGCTAGAACTTCATTAACAGCGCATGCAAGTATTGGTGGTTCATGATATTGCATAAGCAACACAGACACCTGAAAGATAAAAATTTGAAGATAAATTTATAGTGCATATTCCTTAATCTGTAATCTTCAAGATATATCATATAAAATAATTATTCACCATGTCCAAGTAACCCAAGCTTTTGGAATAGTAATAAACCAGCAAACTTCACCATGGTATCAAAGCTGTTGGTTGAGCAGCAGTAAATTAACGAACTTTACAAAATCTGCATTCATAAAACACTAATATAGTGCCTGCCACTGTAATATTTACAGCACGAGTTCTGAAAGGCAAGAAGAAACACTATTTGTGCAGAGTCATTAATATGGTTGTACCTCTTTGGACTTAAGAAACCAAATCTATAAGCTTTCTTAGAAAAATGCCTGCAACTGAGTCCCTTTTAACTTACAGATCAATCAACACTTTCATAAATCTCAATAGAATTTATATGCTACATGGTTTGGAAAAGCAACATCATTTTCATGTACAATCTAAGCCAAATTGGCATCAATTTCTCTTTCACCATGCTAACTAGAACACATTCGCTTAAAAACTATACGACCCATTTCTCAACGCCCAAATCCCACACAGAATCTACACGACTATGAACCCTAAGTGGGTCATGCCCAATTTCATACGAGATAGAGACAGAGACAGAAGGGGAACCTCATATTGACCCTGGTGATCGAGGAAGTGACGAATGCTTCCAGATGCTTTGCAATTTTTGATCCCATAGTGCTCCAATGAAAGCTCGAAACTTTCCTCTCTGAAACAAAATGACAGCCTTTAGCACCTAAAATTGAACTGATACGATATGAATTCGATTTCAATCTTTAAACTTTACAAAGTTGAGAAGAAGAGAGCTTACATGGTGGTATTGCTTGGCTTATGGTGGAAAGCACCTGAGATGGCGTCGCCGAAGCCATCTGAGTCTCTCAACAGAAACACTACCTTCGAACCTACCTTCATTTTCTTTCTGCTCTTTCTTCAAACCAAGCCCCGGGGTTCAGGCAATTGCAAATTTGCAATATATACCAGGTCACGTGCCACTTCTTTTCTTGATTTTATTTGGTTTTTGCTTTTTGTTAAAAGAATATAATCAAGAGTATATTTGGTTATAATATTTTTTTTTGCAAGAGTAGTTTCTCAATTTTATCTAACATTTGTGAGAATAATTCTTTAGTGTGACGGTCCGTCACGTTCAAAATTTATTGTATTTAATCATGTTGTCTACTCATATTATAACACGTATATAAGTAACAATATTTAACAGTGTGACAGTCACATTTTGAAATTTCTCGTTGTTGGAAGGTAACTATCTCCTTACACTCAAATCTTTGCCATATACTCGGATCTTTTTTCCTAGTGGACTTGAATCCTATGTTTATTTTGTTTTGTCAATGAAGATTTTTAAAATTTTATTACTAAACCTTGTACTATAGAGAAGAATCCATAAGTTTGTGATATACTGAAAGTCTAAGCAATATCAAAACAAGTGGAGAGTGAATCCAATCTCCTCATTTACCTTCCTCTTTTACATGTTCTTCAAAACAACTGATGTGGACTCATTATACTTTTGTGGGATTAAATTTTTATATTAGAAAAAAGTCACCTCATCAATAATCCAATCCAGAAAAACACAATGTTGCATCACATCAACATATATCACCTTTTCCCTCTTCCCCATTTGGATGCATTGGGGGTTTGGGGACTTCAGTTGGCTGGTGCTATACCTACACCATTTCCAAATTTACCACAGAAAAATCGCTAAACCCTAAATATAATCAATCCAATTTGAAAAATGGCAGAAAGCAGGTGATCAGGGTAAGCATCTGCAGACCTTAATTTCCTTTCCTGCATATATGATATGAAGCAATTTACATTTTATCAAATGAATATTGGATTGCCCATATATATAAATATATTAATGCTACTAAAATAATTTACAATTTACAACCATATGTTGTAATGTTTTTGCTAGCTATTGCTAAAACCTGTGATGCATATATATACACACACACACAAATATGTGCAAGTCTCTCACTCAATCTTATAAGCATGAAGAAAAAGGCAGAAGTCAGATGTTGTTGTGTTGTTCTGAGGTGAATAGTAAGCACTGCTGTGATCACTGTCTACGCCACCGCCGTTGCCGTTGCTTTCTCTGTCACTCTCTGATTCTGGTGCCCCTGGCTTGAAAATAAACAAGCCATGCCCTGTGCTTGGGCTTGTGAAAAGCCAATCATGAACATCCCAGAACACTTGGACCGGTTCCATGTTCACAAGCACAGTTTGGTTCCCTCTGAATTTCCATTGCAGATTCTTCACATGGATCAGCACAATCCCATCTATGCTGATCCACATTTCAGGATCTTTTGGTCCGGCTGTTGAGCTCTCCACAACAATGTCATGCTCTTTTCTCTTCTCATCAAACCTCACTCTTGTGGCAAAGCTTTTCTTGGCAAACACGTTTTCTCTCTTGTAATATAGAAGGGCCTCAACAATGGCTGGTCTGGATTTGGTTCTCTTGTAAGCCTTCTTCTTCATGTCTCCTAGCAACAACACAACCTCCTCATCACAAACCAGAGCAACATAAAAGTCAGAACATGGTTCCGGGCCACCGCCAAATTTGGCAGAGCGAAGATCCCAATAGACCTCCACTTGATTTCCTTCCACCTCAAATGATTTGTACCCTTTTTTGCTCCAAAAATGCCATGGCTTGAGGTCAATCTTGCAAGTGCAATGAAAATCACCCTCTAAGCCGTCAACCCTGATGCTGAGGGAATGGTTCATGAGATTCTTACACCATATGACTGTCACCTTGCGCCAATTGGTTGCAATGTTGGCAAGGTAGACGCAGGTCACTGTGCTTTGAGCGGTTTTCGTTGTCACGGGGTCTTCTGTGATTTTCTCTGCAAATGGTGCAGGCTCATGCAATGATTGGCCTCTCATAGATCGACTCAGAGTCTGCATCTTTAAAAATCTAAAAGCCTTCCCGAAACAATAATGCTAGAGTCACCAAATTTGTTCACCAAAACCGATGTATGTAAATGCCTTCTAAAAACAATAATACTAGAGTCACCAAATTTGTTCACCAGAATCGATGTGTACTTCTTTCAATAGGGGATGATGATTGAAGAAATTGTAGCAATATTGAGGATTCAGGATGAGAGAGAGAGGAGAGAGAATTATCATATATTGGGTTTGATGGGTAGCATTCAAATAATCATATATTTCTTGCCACCTGCATTTTCATGTACTAGACCAACAAATATGTAAAAATGTTGGGTTTGTAATAATTTGTGAGGTAAAAAGTTTCACATTGATTACCTCAATTGTGGACTTGAAAATCTGTGCTTTGAGAACGAAATCAAATGGAACTTACAACTTAGCCTCTTGGGATCTTTGGCCAAATAGGTGCTCTTGACATGGATGGTGGTTGGGGATCCAAGTGATAATGTAATGGGAAATTGATGAGAAAATAATTTGACAGATAGAATCTGGTGAAGAGAGAGATGAAAGAGATTGTTGGAATGCAGGAGGAGAGAATAGGACGCATGACAGTTTGTTTTGTGGAGAAAAAACCTCAATCTAGAGGCTATAATCTAAGAGGTTGCCGAAACAGAAGGGTTAACAAAAATCCTTTTTACAAGATCTTTTACTATATACAGCTCCTTATTTATTTGTTCATTTGGATATCAAAACGGCTTTCAAGCTCGGCAAAGTTATCATCTTTCTATATCTTAATACCCTTTCAAATTTGAAATAGGATTTGTTTATTTTCTGTTTTTTGTTATGTAAATCAAACAAGAAAATCTTTTTTTAACTATGTTTAGCTCATGAATACGACTAAATCATATTATATTATTCCATTTCGAAAATTCTATTGCTACATCTAAATTAATGACATGTTATTAAAAATAATAATAAAAATTAATGACGTTTTGGTAGAGTAAATTTTTATTTTATTTTATACAAAATAGGGAAGGAAGAATCGAACCTAGGACCTAGGATGCAGTGATAATGCACTTAACATGTCAACTTGTTAAAAAAAAAAGTTAAAAGAGGCCAACAATTAGATAATCCCATTTCCTGAGTGAAGACTATGTCACAAAATCCAAATCCAAACTTCTGTTCAAAGTGGTTTTCCTCATTCACAATTGGCAATCCTTCTCTCCAAAATGCAGAGGAAAACAAAATGGAAACATGAATCATGATGCTTCCAAACATGATCTTCTATGTGAAGATAATTGTACAGAAATCCCATTCACACTATATTCCCATTGTCATATGTACTATTTCCTGCTATGTCTATAGTTTCTTCTCCATCTTTTCTATCCTCGCTTCCTATCAAGCTATTGCCACCATTGCCGGGATTTAGGATTCCTCCTATCTGATTAGCTGAAGCGGCGGCCTGAACCACTTCAATATACAGCACCTTCACCAAATTCTTAAAACGACGTCTGAAAGTTGGTATCCGTGACATGGAAGCTACAAGCCCCTGCAATCTGACACGAAAATGCTTGTCAAAATTTCGTTTGCTTTCAAGGTACAAGGTACAACTGAAGATAGTACATGATGCTTAGACAATCCAACACTAGAGACTAGACCAAATATCAGATATCAAATAAGCAAGATTACCTCCTAAATATGGCTTGCAGCTGTGCCCTTCTGACATGGTCTCCAGATGGAAATCCGGTGTCCCACTCTTCAGGTTTTTCATTGTTGCTTTTCATGAATAAATATCTCAGACAGAGTTCTTCATTCGCATTCAATTGGAGGTTCTTTAGTTGCTCTTTCATGACCAACAATGGCCCAATGAACCACTCAAACGCTTTATCCTTTGGTCCATTTGCCCTTGTCAACTCTACATCATCAGCTATGGGATTCAAATTAGAAGAACTATAATTAAGCTCAAAGTAGCCGATATCAATTAACCAGAGAATACATAGTTTTAAGTTAACATACATATCACCAACCCAGATGAGTTAGATTTTGCTGATGCAAGAAGACATTGCAATATAGACCAAGCAGGTAGTTTGATGCCCAACTTCTTACAATTTCCCTTTAGAAGGCATTCTTCTATGTCCTTGACATCTATCAGACCATCGCGGAGGAATATCCTGCCATTAATCTCACAAGACTTCAACAGCCAGCCCCACACCTGTTACCATAACAAAAATGACATTTTACTTATAAGTGACATGTGCACTCTGAACAATGTTGATATATGGTGTCTTGGTCCTTACCTGCACTGGTTTATACCGATGAATTGCCTGCTTCCATGTTCTTGAGTGTTGTGAGATAAGTTTTGATGTGTATGGGCCTTCTCTCCCATTCTCCAAATCCTTTTTATCGTTGTCACCGCACTTTTTCCTTTCCGGGCAAGAGCACATATTTCTACGGTATAATGGCCTAGCTGCCACAGGATATCTCATAATCAACATTAAAATATTGCAATCATTAATATAAAGTTTCAAAGAGGGATGGCACTCCATAATGTACCTGGGAAAGCAGGACCCTACTCTCAAGTAGAGCAGTTCATTTACATATTCGTCAAATAGCGAAACCGCAGAAATTATGAAGGCAAGTCCAAGGCAGATTGAGTCTTCCTGGAAATTCGTATATCTCTGTTACGATAAACTTTCATTCCAACACAAGAAGAACTATCCACACACTAAGAATTTTTAAAATTATTAGCCTAAACTCAATAAAACTATGATAGAGGCAACCGATCATAGACCTGATAAGCAATAGCACCACTGTATAGTCCCAGAAGGAAGCTAGAAATGAAAGCAGTTACCACAGCTCCCACTACCGCCAAAGGCCATAAGATAATGGCAAGACCGGCAAATGGTACACATACTGTTTCCAAGAATGGTCCTTCCCTGCCTATCAAATCTTCCAATAGCCTCTTCCATCCTCTAAACAGCATGTACGGGCTTTTCCATATTGCAACAGCTGTAATCACAGGCACATCCACCGGCACTCCAATCAGACTCACCAACAAAGAAGCTGGCAATTTTAATAACCTAGCAAGGCAAACACAAAACTCATCAGAAAGTCCAGTTATGTAATTTTGTTTAAAAAGTCATAAATTTTCAATTGTAAGGTTTCTCACTCTATATCCATTGGCTTTTCATCTGCAGGTATCTGCTCAATTAGTTCATCCATGTAGGAGAAGTAAGAGTGGAAGCAAAAATCTGTGAAATCCTGCACAACTATGCAGCCACCTATGATTGTCGACCAAGTTCCATCCTAGCATACAGAATAACGAGTAACTAAAGTGTAAAATGGGCTGAAAACTCTTGATGAAAATGTGCTTGGCCAAATGTCAACCAATTGGGAACTTGCTTTTTTTTATTTCTCCTTTTCTGTTAATGGCCTTTACATAAACATAAAACCAAAATGTATTTGCAATCGAAAAATAAACAGAGCCAAGGAGAAAGGGAACATACAACAAAACAGTGGTAGAACTTGTCAGTTATATTCTCCCCAACAGACTCAAATGTTGCAAGAAGGGGAGCAAAAAACCCATATCCAATCCCACCTAAAACGCTTCCAACGACTCCGAGAACCGGCCAAAGGGAAAGAGGCAATGGCAGCAATAACAGCACTAGAATCTTCAACACAAGTCCAAGCCTCTTGCTTCTGAAATAATAGGGCCATAAAAAGTGAGAATCACATAGTATAAAGATTGAAAAACCATTTACAATGTTGGTTCAAGGGAAGCATACCTTGCTACACAGTAGTAAGTCCACACAAAATGAGCTAACCAAAGCCCAGTGATTACAGCTGAATTTCCAATCACAATAATTCCCACCACCACAGGCCCAATGATTGCAGCTATCAACGAAAAAGCTATCCCATTAATAATTTACTAATACACATCACATGATAATCCCTTAAAAAAAAACACACACACACACATAGTGAGCTTCTATTGAGGAATCCCTCAAATAATCAAATAAGCTTATTTGAAGGTCACTCTTGTAGGGGCCCAAACCATCTAATTTTTAGATATTCCCACACACACATATAGTGAGCTTCTATTGAGGAATCCCTCAAATAATCAAATAAGCTTATTTGAGGGACACTCTTGTAGGGGCCCAAACCGTCTAATTTTTAGATATTCCCTCAAAGATCATATCCGCAAAAAATACATGAACTTGAAATCATTTTATCACTCAATTAGATGATTGTTATTTAAGTCTTTTCTTATCACTCAATTAGATGATTGTTATTTAATTATTTTCTTAAAGCACAGTGTTCATCTATTTTGTTGCTTGCAATTGGATGCCTTAAAGATTTTCAATTTTTCTGATTTTTTGTAGGGATAATCTATAAAGGAAGACTTGAAAAATAGATGGTTTGGATTGTTTTTTTTTAAAAAAAAATTCATAGAATACCCTAAAGGTGTCTCTAAATAAATAATATATATATATATAAAGTAAATTTAGGTTTTCAAAAAAGACAAAAAAACCCCTCAACTTTCAAACCAAAGACATGCAAATGTAAAAGATTCCTTAAAAAATTAAAAAATAAATAAAGGTATTTTTGTCCATTTTGGCTTCTTTTCAAAATATTTCTCTCTCCTCTAGTTTTTTCCAAAATATCCCTATATATAAACACATAAAAATTCACAAACCCACTCAATCAACTCCATCCATCCATCCATCCCCTTGCATCCATATGAAATACACACATACATAAATTCTTAAAGTAACGTTCCCTACACATAACATGTGCATACATACATACACACAGTACATTACACATACATGCATACTTATGCATACATGCATACATAAGCATATAAGTATTATCTTGGTATCAAATATTAATGGGTTGTGCTTAAAATTATTGATCATAGCATAACAGAGTAAGTTAACAGAGTGATTAGCAATAATTAACTAATTATGTGGTTAATTACCTTTGAGAAGGCCAAGGATGAGGAGCATGAAGAAGAAGGGCAGGAAGGAGACGAAGCTCCATAGCTTGGGCACAAAATGCACCGGAACCTCCATCAGAGTACTTCTGGGCAACAATTGAATTTAATAGAAACTAGAACAGTAGAGAGAGAGAGAGAAAGAGAGTGAGAGAGACAGAGTAAGAGAGAGATAAAGCTGTTGATTGAAGTTATATAAAGGGAAGGTGAGGATGCATTACGTGGCGGGAAATGGGGGAAAAGGTGGACACGTGGCGAATGGTGGGGCCTGTGAAGCGTGATTCCATTGTAGCGCAGTTGAGGCGACGACAACACACGACACCGCTTTCTGGTGGCGGGAACCGCCTTGCGAAGATATTTTATTTTCCTTTTAATCACATGTTTAGCTTTTATTGTACAACTCATTTTCATTTTGGCCCCGGAACTATCAATTTTCACACAACGGCAATAGTATTCAAATTGAAAATTCTACTAAAATTAGTAGATGAAATTCGACATACCAATTTGGAACTACCACATATGAGAACTACGTTATCTCTTCAAACGTTTGCAATTATATCAACGTAAGCATTGTCTTGAAGACGGTGGTAATCGAACTTAGGATATCACCTGAGCTACAATTTCTTTACCTTCCGTATCTTTTTTTGACAATATTAACCTTGTAGAACTTAATTGTTAACATATCAAAACTATAATTAACGAGAAAAAATACTAACTTTAAATAAGAAGGACTAAAGTGAAAATACTAACCAATAGATCATTGTTCATGTCCTCTATATTCTTTTGGAAAATCATTCATCCAATTCCATCAAAACCAGTGAGAATTGACCGTGTGTTTGGCATTTCATTGAAAAAGGAACAAAAGAAAAATGTCTTATGGAGTGTTTCATGGCTTGGTGGCCAGTTGATTTGGGTGTTGAATGGAAATAGAATGCACAGGAAGCTCCCATTCTCCAGATCATTGTTATCGTTGTCGACTTACTTCTTCCTCTCCGGGCAAGAGCTCATATTTCCAAAACATTTCAACAATTGCAATAATTAAGAAAGAGTTTCATAGAGGAACGGCAATTCTAACTTGCATGATTTGGTCAATTGATATATCATCATATTTAATGTTCATTTGTGTGAGACTTACGTACATATCAATTTGAGGGCATAATGGTCATTTTTTAAATAATAAAAATCAAATGAGTCATCATCAGTATGACCATTAAAAAAAATCTTGATATAAACCCAAAATTGGGCCTGCATTGATCCTACAAAGCACCTGCTTTTTCCGTAATCAACGGTTTAAGCTTTTGGGTTTATGTCTAATTTTTAAGAGATATTTAGTTATATACCCATTCTTAGTAATATTGATATAGATAAACTCTACACCATTTAATTTCTGTAAACAAACCCAAAAAATGACAACTGGTCCTATTGAATTTTATTTTGATTATTAAATTACTGTAATACCATATTGAGCGTTTTAAGTTTTTTTATGAGGTTTTGGAGTTGAGCTTGTTTGAAGAAATCGACGACGGTTTTGTAATTTATAGGAAGTTCGAAGCCTCTTTGTTATGTTGTAAATGGGCTTCGGGTGTGTTTCTAAAGTCCATTTCATATGAGGTTTTTTTATTATTATTTATAATTTAGGTCCTTATAGGTATAATAGTAAATCTCCCAATTTTTTCATCTGGTATAAGTGATATTCTACATTAATCTAATCTAAACTTCAAAGAACGAATTCGAACTTAGTGAAGAGTGGGAGCACATTCGACCTAGCCAACTTGACTAAGCATGCCTATTAAGAGAAAGTTGATTGTGAATAAAGCAAAAGCGATGGCAGCCCTCAAGGGATGCCTCTTTCTTGGCAGTGGAGAAAGGGGTTGTGACTAGTCGAATCACATTCTAAAGAATTGATCCAGAGCATAAAATAAAGGGTAACATAAAAAGATGGTGTCTCTATCCCTACTCAGTATAGAATGGAACCATTTGCAGGCCAGTAGAGTTGCGATGAGGTCCGGCAGGACCAAACCCTATCCTTCCTAGTTTTCGTTCTCAACAACGATGGACACCCGTGTTCCCCAAAAAACTAAGGCGATCGGGACAAGGTTCGACGTTTTTCCACCAGTGCAGCGTCTTTGGTTTCCCTTGCTTCCCTGTTGTGTCGAGTGTGTCTTTACTTTTCCGGTTCTTTTCTAGTTGTCTTTGGGTGCCCTCACTAGTTTCTGGGGCACCGTCTATGGAATCTCTGATGTTAAAAAATACAAAATAAAAAAAAATCAAGAATGGGTGAAAAACAGAGATGGATAGGACACTACTCTAGCTCTCATAAGATATTGTTGGTTGGAGAGGGAGACTTCTCATTTTCTGCTTGTTTGGCTCGAGCTTTTCGCTCTGCCACTAAGATGGTTGCAACCACTCTTGAATCTGAAGGTACATTAATTTTTCAAGTATACCCTGCTTTTATTTTTTAATATTTGTTTAACATTAGTTAATTAATATTATAAATATGGCAACGGGATCTGCCCAATGGCATTGACTTGCAGACCTGAGATCTCAGTTTCAGATCCCACGACATATTGGTTAGGGTGTGTGTGAGAACCCCCCTCCCTAATTTAGATTATCGCTTGTATTTAAAAAAATAATTTAATATTATAATAAATGTTGGAAGTCCAGATACTCTATTGAAGGAACATTGGAGCAGTGAGGCACATGTGGATGAGTTGCAGAGAAGAGGATGCTTAGTGTTGCATGAAGTTGATGTATATGACATGGACCAGCATCCCACCCTTATGTTCATGAAATTTGATATTATCGTCTTCAACTTTCCTCATGCAGGCCATGACTATTGGCTATGCGAAAGAAACAATGAGCTCATACGGTAAGTGACCATGCAGATCAAACTTGTCACAAGCATTCATATCAGGGATGCTTTAATTTCCGATAGTCTTGATCCATTTAGTGGTGGCATCCATTAGGTGTCGTAGTAGGGTTGGATTAACATTATCCAATCTCGTACTAAAAAATGAAATAAAAGATAATCCCACCATAATCTCATTAGCTATAACTTTGTAAGTTCACTTATTCTATGAAAGAAAAAAAAAGTGAGATACGTAATCTCACTACTCCAAGTATGTGACCCCAAACCCACAATCCGGGAGTCAGGAACGTGGACCATGACACTAATTAAGCTCTTAGTTGTAATCCCGAGTGCAATTCAATCCAATTTTTGTTATCAAGCATGACCTACTCTTATTGATTTTCACATGTATTTGTAATTAATACTATTAGTTACTTCATACTCTGCCCTTAGTGATCAGTTTGGGGTTTCAATTGAATTTTAGAAGGCACAGGGGTTTGCTAGAAGCATTTTTCCGAAGTGCCAGTGGGATGCTGGGCGAAGGTGGGGAAATTCATGTTTCACACAGAGACGACTATCCTTATGATAAATGGAAGTTGAAGGAGCTTGCTAAGAAAGCCGGCCTGGTTTTGAAAGAGAAAGTGTGGTTCGAAAAGTCGGACTACCCTGGCTACCACCAGAAGAGAGGTGGAGGCATCCAGAGCAACAAAACATTTCCTCTCAAAGAATGTTACACCTTCAAGTTTTCACTGAAACATGAAACAAGTGTCCTTGATTCAGAAGAAGCAACTTCAAAATTGCAGAGGAAGCTAGAGGAATTACACCTTCCCCAGCACAAAACACTTATTCGTCCAAATCACATCCATGTTCCTGAATCTGAAGGAACCAACTTCAAAATTGGGGCTGCTGACTTTGTCAGTGGTCCTGAGACTGATAAGAGCTCGCATATTGTAAGCTTCCTATTTTATCAGATCTTCGCATATTGGCATACTGTAACTGCTTATATATATTTTTTGCATTGATGCAATTTCTCTCTCTCTCTCTCTCTCTCTCTCTCTCTCTCTCTTGTCCCCATTGTGTCTGTCTACTTGTCAATTCATATTCTCCATCTATGTCTCTGTTGTTTCCTTTAACATTCTCACAAACTCAGTCTTGGGTCTTTTTGCTCTGTGAGGTTTGCGAAGATGAGTGGATGTGGGTTCAGGGTTTCAATCTCAAACAGCGTGAGAAAGACGATCCAGGACATCAAGGAGATAACGGGAAATCATAGTGAGGAGGAAATCTATGCAATGCTCAAGAGATGTTACATGGATCCCAACGAGACCGCCCAGAAGCTTCTCTATCAAGGTACCAACAATTGGTTTGTTGCTGTTTCATGTGGGTTTTATTTGGTTTTGATTATGCGGGAGGTGGGAATTGAATTGGATTTTTGATTTGCTGTAATGGGTTTTCAATGTTTGTGACTTAGTTGGATTCTGATATCATCTTAGGATTGGAGCTCGCACTTTGTTGGTTCATAGCAATCATGTTCAGGCATTTTAGAATGACTTTTTTTCTTTTTTTTTGTCGTACATTTCAGAATGACTAGTGCGATCACTTTGTGTAAATTTAAAAAATTTGAACTTAATTTTACCTTAAACTTGTGGCTATTTTTGGGGTACAGAAGTAAGCTCCAGCTTGCACTTAGTGGAAAATACATCTCTCCTTCCCCTGTTTTTTATGAATTATTTTTGCACATGTGTCAAACCGTGATTTGCAAGGAAAAGCATCTCCTTGTTATTGCTGAAGTGGTATTTTCTTGGAATAGGGTTTGATTTTTAACTGAATAGTGCTTCCCTCCTTGCTCATAAGGAGGAACTCCTCCGTGCCTAATGATGTAACTCAACCACAATCTGACACGTGTCTAGTATTGTCTTGGAGTTTAGACTCCAACTAGGTGGACTTCTTGCTCCATCAATTTTGTTTTTTTTTCTTTAAACTGAAATAATACTCTTATGTATTGATCTGCAGATCCATTTCATGAGGTCAAAGGGAAACGTGACAAGAGAAAAGAGGTAAGAAATTCTAAATATGAGCTGATTTTTACCGTCAGTTAATTGGCGGGTAAGGTGGTGGATTTCTGGTATGTTGTCTCGTTAAGCAACTCGTTTTATGTTCTTTGTTAAAAACAAACTTTATAATGTGGTTTTTCCTAACAAATATGTGGTTTATTTTCCTTCTCATTCATATTTAATTATTATTTCTTCAAATTTAAATACCAATTAGTTGTCTGTTGCAGAATCTGAACAACATAGAGTCTGCAGAGTCGCCGTGGAGACCTGGAATGCAGGGACGGGAAGGTGAGAGCGGTTGGGTGAATTTCCTACCTCGTTATATGTCACATGGCAAGTGAAATTAGAACGTCTTTGAGGGTCACCACTGGTCGATTAGGGCACAATGAAGGGGGCAATATGCACACACTCATACATACCAACCAAGCTAACTTCAATTTGTGTACTTCTTGGCAGATGCTGGTGATGGTGGAAATTCCGCTCCTCGAGTTGCTCCCTCTCTTCCAATCTCTCGCAAGACAAAAAATAAACAGCGAAGTCTGGTAACAAGGTGGCAATAATTTTAAAACCCGAATGCCTTTTTATAGTTTTTGTGGCCAATTTGTCTTGAATGCAGTTTGTATTGGGTTGTAAAACTTACATGTTTAAGTATCATTTGCAGCTCTCGACCGATCATTGTGGATGGTCCTACCAATGTGGCTGATGGATGGTCGCCTGTTGTGCTTCCCTCCCATTTATCTGGATGGGATTTATGCACATCAGCTGATGGATGGTCTGATGTGCGTCCCTCCCATTTATCTAATGGATGGTCGGATGTGCATCCCTCCCATTTATCTGATGAATGGTATGATGTGCATCCCTCCCATTTATCTGATGGATGGTCTGATGTGCATGCCCCCCCTTTACCTACTGGATGGGAATAATAATTTTATTTCAGTAGGTAGGAAGTGGAGGGGGAATATTACGTTGGATTTTGCTCGGACTCAAATCGTTTTTTTCCCCCAACTCTTTAGACTCAACTTTTAAGTTCGCCACTTTATTAAGAATGATTTAAGTTTAATTTTTTTTCATGGATATCTTTTCTACATTTAATCTTTATAAATAACTTCATAATTTAATTTTTGAACAATTTAACCTAAAAAAATTAAAATTCTATAAATATAATTTTATTTGAGAAATAGGTGGTTATTTATAGAGTTTGGAGGTTGGATATGATTTAGATTAATTTAAAATATTATTTTTACCGTTGAATTTAAATTTCAGCCTCATGATCTATTTATTACCATTAAAATAACTTGGATTTAATATGGATAGTTGATTTGGGTTACTATTGGAATAAAAAAGTGTTGCGATAGTAGCGCGTGACAACTTTTGCAACACTATGGCGCATGCCCTATTATTTCCTCTTTTCACATGGGCTGCATCATGGCTGAGTGGGCTCCACACAAAAAATAAAAATTAAAAATTACAGGCCATCTTGCATGGACTGGTATTCCGCCCCAACTTTGGGAGAAGACTTTGGTTAAAATTCATGATTTTTTGGGTTTGACATGATGGATTGAAGATGGACTAAGAGCACCTCCACCCCAAAGGGCAAGGGTAAGGCAAAGACAAGGCAATGTTTGTCACTATTCAAGTGAACAGTGGCAACCTATGCCTTTTGCGTTTCCACCCCAAAGGGCGAGGGCAATTACTATTCACTTTGATTTATTTTCTATTTTTATACTTAAACTATTAATTTTGATAAGATTTTTTGTTGCCACGTGTCACTATTTATTATAAAATTCTTATCTCAAATTTCAGATAAAATTTTCGGATAAAATTTTCCGTTACCACGTGTCCATATTTATTATAAAATTCACATCTCAAATTTCAGATAAAATTTTCATGTAAGATTTTCGGTTGCCACGTGTCCATATTTATTATAAAATTCACATATCACTCATCATACAATTGAAATACCTACTTACTCATCATACAATTGAAATACTCTCAGTCATCATAGTCTGACACAGTCGAGTACAAGGACGACTCAATCATTGTTGGAGGCGATTCCATCAAATCACGACGTGAGGGAGTATTTTCCTTCAGAGTACGTAATACTGTCATTATTTCCGACACAGAATGCACCACTAGAACCGACTGCGGGCATTGTTTACTTGAGGAGCCATGTGTAATGGTTTTCCTCTTTTTTGTTTTGCCTTGAATAATCTATTAAAAAAATGAAATTCGAAATGCAAGAAATATAACTAATAATAAAAAGACATTAAATTGAATAAAACGGCAATTTTTATTTTTTTATTTTACCTCGTCACCAAGATTTTGACTGCTTCGAACATTTGTCCATGACCCTTCGATTTCAATGGAAGAGGCCATTTGTATTTTTATACAAATGGAATTTTGTAGTAGAAAATTTTGGTGTGGAAAGTGAAAAATATTGGAAGGAGATGAATTTGTATGAAGATTTGGTGTGAAAAGTGCATAATGTTGGTAGGTATTTATAGAAAAAATTTCCAGAATTTCTTGATATTTTTTACAAATTTTTTGAAAATTTTATTTTAGCCAAAAAATGGGCAACCGTTGGATCCACGTGCCAATGGTAAAAAAAATTTGAATTTCTTGCCTTGACGTCACGTCAACAGCCCAAAGGCAACAGTAGGGCCGTTCCTGAGATTTTGAGGGCCCTGTGCGAAACTTAAATTGGGGCCTCACATCTAATATGAAAATAAAATAAATAAAAATTTGCCATAACTTAATGTCATAAACAATTTTTTTTATAACTAAAAGTCACCATGAATAAATATGTAATGACAATTAGAAATCAAATTCATAAAAATTTAAATGTTTCTATTTGATAAAATTAAATGTTTGGTACAAAAATAAGCTCATTGTGCTCCTACAAGGTCCCTTACTGCTTCCAATGAGCAATATGTGTTTAATAGGAAAAACAATTGGCAATTACAAATTAAAGAGTAGTTGCACACAAATTCCTGAAATTTGAATTTGACTATTTGATTTTGAGTGGTCTTTATGAATTTAGGAATTAAGGTTTTCTGTTTTTGGTGTTGAAATTTCTGAAATTGAAAGAATAACAAAAATTGTCAAAGGATTGGAAAAAGAACCAAAGAGAGATTGATGAATGATGATGATTACTTACCAAAAAATCAGAGTTTAAGAGAAAGAAGAAGCCATGAAGTTTTTTTTATATTAATAGACCGCCTTCAACAAGATTCGAACTCTGGCGCTTTGTTAAATGAAGAAGCGCTGGAGCCAACTCCACCAGAGACGCATTTTTGCAAATGTCTAGCACGCTATAGTATATATACAATTCCTACAATATTAATATATATAATATAAAGAAATTTTTTTTTGGGGGTCCTTAAGAATCGGGGGCCTTGTGCGGTGACGCCACTTGCACCACCCCAGGGCCGCCCCTGGGCAACAGCACGAGGAAAATCTGCCTGTAGGCTTGCCTTGGCTCATGGGACCCACCCCTTGTCCTAGCTGGACTTGTCGCTGGAGCTGCTCCCTGGTCCTAGGGGCCCATCTTGCCTAGACTGGCCTCTTGCAGTGGAGGTGCTCTAAGGATGCTCAAAACCAAGATGCCATTTGGAAAGGTAAAGGAGGAGGGGAGGACCGCATACCACTATGGTAAACCTCCATTGGCTGATGGTCCTAATATAAGCTTGTAATTGGTTCAAGATAATTTGAGAGGTTAGAAATGTGGCCTAAAAACCAAGCATGGGATGAAATCTCCTAATAATAAAGGGCAATTTATATTGTTCTCTTTTACTTTTTTTTTGGGGTGCCAAATGTCGAAAAAAGATGAGGGGGGATGGTGTGGTGATGCGCGGTGCACATGCACTTGAACACATTATCACATGGTTGGGTAAAGGCAATGCCAACCACTAAGCTACTTTTTCTTTAAAGTACAAAGTCAGAGATTACGAAATATGAGAAAAAAAAATCCAACATAGATTATATTTGAGAGATATTTGATCTTTATCGATCGTATCCCAAAAGTTTCTAATTGTATGGTTATCAAATGGGTATATCATATAAATATAAATAAAAAAAGGTATTGATAAACTGATAAAATTAGCATCATATTTCAACTATGATGGGTGTATTATCACGTCTGTCACATGAATATATTATCACGTGTGTTATAGTGTTATTGGTCAATGATAACAAATTGATATCCTCATTTCATGGAAGTGTTTCTCCTCCTAGTCGAGCAACACATTGCTTGCTCTCAAGTGTTAGGTTGAGAATGTGACCAACTTCCTTGAGTTAAATATTGGGGATGCCCATCTTTCTCTTTTCATAGTGTGGATAACTTTTAGGTAGTGGAGACTAGACTAGGCAAACAGGTCGAATTTGTCGTGTTTGTGTCAACCCATTTGAAGGGACACGACCTGTTAAGTTAACGAGTAAAAAAATACTAGACACACACATAATCTGTTACAACTTGCGAATGACACAACGCGACCTGTTTCACCCGTTACTAATTAAAAAAGAATAAGAATAAGAAAATCCTTAATGCACGAACATCACACAAACCCATTCGTTTTTGTTTTGCACTCTTGAGGCAGTCGACATACCCTCTCAATCTCATCCATCCTACCTCAAAAGTGTAACCACCAATTGGCAGGAAAAGAATGAGAAGAATGTGGAGAAGTTCGTCGAAAAAAGGGAGAAGGGCTGGCTTTAGTGGACGCTTCCATCGTAGTAAAAGAAGGAAGAAATGCTAATAGTAAAATTCTCGAATGGAGTGACAAAGATGCTCTCTTTTAGTTAAACTAACCAACTTAAGCCAATGAAGTATATTTTAGTTGATTGAGCTCTTTCATCTCCATCCATGTGGGCAGAGATTCGAAACTCTAAGGCACCCAATGAATGTTTGCGTCAACCCACTCATCTAATCGTTTGTACTAAAAAAATATTTTATTTATTTATAAATAAGCCCATTTGAGCATAACATATTGTACAAAAACCCATATAAAGCCTATTTGGAGAGAAAAACCCAAAACTAGCAACTAGTCATTTTATAATTGGTTCTAAGTGTGTTAAAATTTTGCAAGAACCAATTAGAAATTAATAAGTGAAAGTCCCAAAAAAACAAAAAACCAACTTAGAGCATCCACAATGGGCTCCCTAAACCACCTTATTAGCTAAAATTTAGGGAGGAATTGAAAAAACCCACCTCTAACCATGCTCTCTATCCATCTCCTAAAATAGGGAGACGTGTAGAAACTCCTAAATATGAGGAGAGAGAAAGTAGTCATAGTGACTTCCTATAATTAAATGCTTCTATATTTAATATTATTTTAAACATTTATGTAATGCCAACTATTTATTATTATTGCTTTTGTGTCTACACATTATTCAAAAATTCAATTAAAATTTATTAAAAATATTTATGACTCTTTAAACTATGGAGTATGGTTGGAGTTGAAATTTTATAGAGAGCTCCTAAAATAGCTTTCTAGTGTTTTTAGCTAAATTTTAACTAAAATATAAAAAGCATGATTGCGGATGCTCTAAATACGTGACTTTTTATTTTTATTTTTGTAAAATGCCTCAACTTTATATATGCCCAAAGTCATCAAAATCAATGGATTGGCCTCAATTTCAGTACCCTATATATCTCCCCTCTTTCGAAAATTCAACAAAAGCTCACTAATTAATGTATTTATTTATTTTTTAAAGATAAAAATTGAAATTACTAATTTACTTTTAAAATTAATAAACGATTGACAAATTTGAAAGTAAATAATAAGAGTAAACCATGAGTAAAAATACGAGGACTATATAATCGAATTGAGAGACCAAAAGTGAAATTTAGTTACAAATTAAGGGCCTAAACCTCACTTGATTTTTTTTTTCCACTAAACCTCACTTGATTTGATCCACCTATTTTATCTTTTTTAGTTCTAAATTTTTAAAAACTAAAATAAAAAAAATAAAAAACCAATTCTCACACTCGTATGCGTGTGTCAAGGGACAAGTGCATATATGTATATATAAAGTTATTGGTAAGCCTTAGAGAATAATCAAACCAAAAAGAAAAAGGCCAGTACTAGAATTCGAATCCTATGTTTTACTTTAAGCAGTGGTGGTACATGAAATTCAGTAGTGAGGGCCAAACCAGCACTGTCAAGGGAGAGAGAGGGCAGAGAGGGCAGAAATAATTAAAAGGTAAAGGAAATATGGGCTGATGGAGTTCTTTAAAGAAAAGTGTAGGCTTATTCGACTTAAAGTAATACATAATATGTAGGCCATGACCTATAGTGGTCATTAGGTGGGTCCGCTAGGCCCACAGTTGAAATCCTTTCCTGCATTATGTGGCGTTTGGCCATCTGTCCTTGTTTTATTTTATTTTATTTTTTCTTAATACAAGCAAGATTCAAAAATTAGATCTTACATACATTACCAAAATATCATAGAGATTCGGACATAAACCACTCTATTGATCTGCAAATCAAGTTAATTTTCCATTAGCCTAAATTCCGTTAACTTGGTGTGTTACCGGGCCATTGGTTTATTGGAGAAGCCCCCTAGGCTGAAAGGCGACTCTAAACCTACAGACAGAGATTTGGATAACAAGCAGGTGCCGTACATCTTTGGAAATAGGCAGTCTTTCTGCCCAAGGAGATTCAAAGTTTATCTCTTTCTTCCTCGTTTGTTTTCTATTTTATTCTTGAGTGTGCGAGTTTGGTATATTTGAAATTTTGAATTTGTGAGGTTAAACATTATTTTGTACCCTATCTTCGAACAACACACAGAATATAAAGCCGAACCATTATAAATCTTAATGTTTTTATTTGTTGTTTGGTTTGTTTTATAATGAAATCCTTTCGTCTTCTTTGCATCAACATGGAGAATAACTGATCACCAAAATCCAGCCATTTCTCGTTCTTCACCAGCCCAGTGCAAAACCTACACTTGTATCTGTTGTCGATCATTTTTTTTCTTTCTAAAATCAGTTGAACAGAAATTCTTATCTTCCAACTTCACATATTCTTGCCTCCCTCCTCTTCCTCCACTACTCTTAATCACAAGATACTTTTCATCTTCTCTCTTTACTTACCATCTTTATTGAAAGTCTTCTCATAAATCATTGGAGAAACTTGAGTGTATAAATCAATAATGGGTCGTAAAAAACAGAGACGGATAAGATCGATACGGCACTACTCTAGCTCTCATAAGATATTGTTGGTTGGGGAGGGAGACTTCTCTTTTTCTGCTTGTTTGGCTCGAGCTTTTCGCTCTGCCACTAACATGGTTGCTACCACCCTTGAATCTAAAGGTACATTTTACAAGTATATATATGTATACAGATTTTCTCCTATGCAGATATCCACAACTACCCTTCCTTGCTTTTCTTCCGGTTTACAATGGCGTCCGCATATGAGAATATAACTGTATATATGTATTAGCAAATGGCCAACCATTACCTTACCGTGTTCTCAATTTTTTGTTTTAGATTAACTAATTAATTTGATCAATATATATGATAAAATTTCAGATACTCTATCGAAAAAACATCGGAGCAGTAAGGCACATGTGGATGAGTTGAAGAGAAGAGGATGCTTGGTGTTATATGAAGTTGATGTAGATGACATGGACCAGCATCCCACCCTTATGTGCATGAAATTTGATATTATCATCTTCAACTTTCCTCATGCAGGCCATTACTTTTGGCTATGCGAAAGAGACGATGAGCTCATACAGTAAGTCCAATCTCAACATTTACAGTAATTACGACATTATATAGTCCAATCTCATCACTAATTTGGGATTCAAATGGATTAGAAAGCACAGGGAATTGTTGAAAGCATTCTTCGAAAGTGCCCGTGGGATGATCGGCAAAGGCGGGGAAATTCATGTTTCACACAGGGATGACTACCCCTATGATCAATGGAAGTTGAAGGAGCTTGCTGAGAAAGCCGGCCTGGTTTTGAAAGAGAAAGTGTGGTTCGAAAAGTCGGACTACCCTGGCTACCACAACAAGAGAGGTGGAGCCATCCAGAGCAACAAAAAATTTCCTCTCAAAGAATGTTACACCTTCAAGTTTTCTCTGAAACCTGAATTCACTACTCATGAATTAATGCCTTCTTGCAGCCAAACAACCAGCATTCTTGATGATGATATATCATATGCTTTAAATGGTATGCATTTGAAGTAACAGCCATAAATGTATGGAAAGCAGAGCAGAACATATATGTGCTGTATATATATGGGTTTGTAATTAAGGATTTAAGACTGAACCACAGTATACGTATGCAAAACAAAGCTATAGATGGATTGTGTTTCCTTTTCATGTTACATGCATTTTGCCATTTAGCTAAATACCCTCATCAAATCACACGTGCCTGCCCTAAACAATTGTGAACCGTTAATTGATTCACGTATAGATTATGTTGCTTAAAACTATTTGAAGATGTAATATATACACATACATACATAAGCATACAGTCATTACCATAAACACATTATATTTGCATGTGGGCATGATGGTATGTGCCCATGTGGCATAAGTAATATATTGGTATCAAATATTCATGGGTTGGGCTTAAAAATTTTGGCTCACCAAATACATATTGTTCATAGCATAACGGAGTGATTAGCAATAATTAACTTATGTAGTTAATTATAAGGGAGTTTCACTAAAACACCCAAAATGGAGGTTGAAATTATAAAAAAACCCAACACCCAAAACACTTTATAAACACACCCAAAACCCATCATTACACACACTCAAAATCCATTTATAAACACACCCAAAAAGTTGACTTTGGGGTTGATTTTGGGTGTGTTTCTATGTTTAAATAGTGCTTGGGTTTTTTTATAAATACATGTCTAAGATTGGGTTTATTTATAAATTAATTATCTTCGAGAAGGCCAAAAATGAGAAGCAAAAAGAAACAAAAGGCTCGTTTGAGAGTCCTTTTAAAACTGCTAAAAGCCCTCCATAGCTTGGCCACAAAATGCACCGGAACCTTCAAGAAACCATGCAAGTAAAGTAATTTAGGGCAACAATTGAATTTTATTTAATAGAAATCAGAACACTAGAGAGAGAGAGAGAGAGAGTAGAGAAAAATAAAGACTAGCATATTAATAAGGTCGAGTCCCGGGGGGGGGGGGGGGGGGAGAGAGAGAGAGTTTGATTTGATTGATGATAGGCGAGGAGTGGACACGTGGCGGCAATGGGGAACTGAGGTGGACACGTGGCGAAAGATTGGGCTTGTGAAGAGCGTGATATGTAGTCCATTGCAGGGATGTTGAGACAAAGACGCACGACACCGCTTTCTGGGTCTCGTCACGCTTTTGGCGGGGAACCCCCTTGCGAAGAAACATATTTTATTCTTGTTTTTTACTATAAAATTAAAATTATTAAAGTTTAATCACATGTTTAGCCAATATTGTTCAACTCATTTTCATTTTGGCCCCGGAAGTAGTTTTATGAATGTAATGTTAGCTTTGTCTCATTAACAATAATAACAATGAATCTCAAATTGAACATTCTACTAAAATTAATAGATGAAATTCTACATACCAATATTTGCAACTACCATATATGAGAACTATGTTATCTCTTCAAAACATTTGCAATTATATCGACATATGTGCGCCCTTTTTTTCTTTTCTTGATTCATGCATAATTAGAGAAGGGAGAATCAAACATATGATATGATATCAAGTGCATAGATAAATGTTTTAATCATTTGGGTTACAAGTATCCTATCGCTCTCTATCTTGTTTTGACGATGTTAAACTTTTATACTTAATTGTTGATGGTGTAGTAACAAAATTCCTTCTGGATGAATTAAATGAAGAACTTCAATCTAATTTAACTGCTCTTTGAAAATGACCTGCAAAATAGTAACAATCAATCTGATAAATAATGGTGTGGTGTTGGCCAAGGGCCCTTTGATGATTAAATTAAAAAAAATATCTTAAGGAGATGTGCGTTTTCATGAAAGCTGCAGGAGGATTTTGGAATTGATTACCTTTTTTGTATATTCCTTAGCTATAAATAAGGGAATTATCTTGTAGCCATCTTTGGAATTATTAAGGGCAGTTTATTTAAGGAGATGGATGAGATTATGGAATTGAATGTAATTAGTATTTCTTGATAGCTAATTAAATGAGAATTTAATTAACATAATTAATGTGATCTAGGACAAGTTTGATATTTATTTGCATTTCCACTTGACGTCATTGGAGCGGTCGTGAAATTATTTGCTCCCACAAATATATCAAAACTATAATGAGAGAAACTACTAACTTTAAATAAGGACTAAAGTGAAAAACGAGTCACACAACAATGACCATAACATAATTTGACCTTTTTTCCACAACAAACTGCAGCCCAAGACGCCCAAAACATCCACAAACCCAAAGCCCAACAAATGACTCCTCTCAAATGTATAGCTGCTCTTCTTTAAAGGTGTGAGCTTTTTTTCCTTTGCTTGTGAGAGAGAGCTTTGGGGTCTCATCTCATGTGAGCACGTTTGAGCAGAAATCTTTCATCAGAATCAGAAATGGGCAGTGGTAGGGAGAGATGGATTGAACACTACAGTAGCGCACAAGAGATATTGCTGGTTGGTGAAGGAGACTTTTCATTCTCTGCTTGTTTAGCTCGAACATTTGGCTCTGCTTGCAACATGGTAGCAACTTCTCTCGAATCTCAAGGTACATTTTTCAAAAACACAACTTTTATGTTCATGGGTACTCTTTAAGATGTGACCAATAAATCTTTGTTCATTTTCAGCGCTACCCCTGTTTTTTGGTGCAACCATTTTTGGGGTTTCTTTATTTTTTGTTTTTCAGTGATTAATTTGATTAAAGATTCAATTTTTAGGTTCTTTAAGGGCCAAACATAGGAGCTGTTTGTCACACTTGAGTGAGTTGAAGAGGAGAGGGTGCTTGGTGTTGCATGATGTTGATGTGTATGAGATGGACCTCCATCCCGCTCTGCAATGGAGGAAATTTGGTGTCATCATCTTCAACTTTCCTCATGCAGGCCATTTCCCCTGGCTACGTGAAAGAAACCCTCAGCTCATTCAGTATGTGACCCTAAATTAATTAACTAGAACAAATAAATAGTAGTCTGTTGTACACAGGTGTCAACCCTAACAGTTTGTTTTGATTGGATTGTATTTGTATGAGATTCGTGCAGCTTAAGTTTCTTAATTACCCTTTCCAATAATGAATGATTATGAATGCTCAACATTTTTCTACTACATAGTCCCTCTTTTATATTCTTTTGGAAAATCATCATCATCATCCAGATCTATCAACAAAACCAGTGATGAATTCATTGTTATGTATGAACTGGTGGAGAATTTGACATTTTATTGAAGAAGAGGTGGATAATTTTATTTGATTGGTATCATATCCTAGGATGCTATATTTTCCCAATTGTCTTATCAAGTGTTTCATGGCTAATCAATGTTATTCAATGCAGTGGTGAAGCCGCAGGCCTATAATTAGTTACATAATTATTTGCTACCATATAGTATTCTCAATTAGTTACTTAGTTTCCCTACCTTGAGGGCTAATTGATTTGGGTGTTGAATGGAAGCAGAATGCACAAGAACTTGTTGAAAGCCTTCTTCGAAAATGCCCGTGGGATGCTGAGGGAAGGCGGGGAAGTTCATGTTGCAACCAGAGATGACTACCCGTATAACAGATGGAATGTGGAGGAACTTGCAGAGGAAGCAGGCCTGGTTTTGATGGAGAAAGTGTGGTTCAAAAAATCGGACTACCCGGGTTACCAGAACAAGAGAGGGGGTGACATCAAGAGCAACAAAACGTTTCGTCTCAGAAATTGTTTCACCTTCAAATTTACTCTGCAACAATATGAGAATGACTACACTTGTGATGAAATGTCTGTTTGTAGCGACGAATATTAGATGATTATGTGAAGTGTTTGGTAGTAGCAGTAGTAGTAGTGTCCTTTTGAAGCAGAAGGTAGTGGTGATGCATTAGGCCTGTGGAGAGGATCATCGATCAGATATGCAAGATGTGAATACTTTTGTTAGTTTGAATATTTTTGGTTTTGTGCATATGGCTTTGTAAAAGATTTGATACCAAGCCATGTGAAGTATGCAAGATGTGGGCCTATAAAAATACACCTATTTTGATGTTAATGCATGTAAATTGCTACTTGATTGTATTCGTCATGACAATATGTTCTTGAATTTATACCCGAGTTTTATTTTGATATTGGCTTTTGATATTGGCTTGTTTATTTAAAATTGAGGAGGAGCTCTTTCTTAAAACCAATGGGGTTTTGACACTTGTCAAATTCAAGCAACATTCAAAAAGTTTCAACAAAGAAGGAATATTTTTTTAAAAGAATTTGATTAGTGTCAAAACAACATTTGTTGTAAGGAGGAGCTCCTCCTCCGTTTTAAGGAGCCAAATTTTTTCCTTTCATAATCCTCATATTTTCTCTCGCCCTTCAATTCATCTTATTTAAAATTAGAAACCGTAAAAAATAAGATTAAATCAGTAGAAGTTAAAGGTTTAAAATTTTACCCATACCCATCCGCTCCACCTCCCCTTACCTCAGAAACGCCACTCTAGTTTTTCAAAAAAAAATCCTTTAGTCTTTTTTATTAAAACACAATATTCTCAAACTTTTCATCTTCCTGTCTCCCTCCTCCTGCACTACTCTTCATCACAAGATAGTATTCATCTTCTCTCTTTATTTATTTTGTTGGAAACTACCATCTGTATTGAAAGCCTTCATTTAAGCACAGTCCCTTCAGCTCTCACAGTGCTATTATATAAAGTGAAATAAGTCATTCCAAGAGAAATAATATAACCCTAAACTTGAGTTTAAATCAATAATGGGTAAAAAAAACAGACAAATAGGACACTACTCTAGCTCTCAAAAGATATTGTTGGTCGGTGAGGGGGACTTCTCATTTTCTGCTTGTTTGGCTCGAGCTTTTCGCTCTGCCGCTAACATGGTGGCTACCACTCTTGAATCTGAAGGTACATTTTTCAGATATACCCTGTTTTTAATTTTCTTCTTTTGTTTCACATTAGCTAATTAATTTGATCAACATAAAAATAAAAAGAATTTGAATTTCAGATACTCTATGGATGGAGCATTGGAGCAGTGAGGCACATTTGGAAGAGTTGGAGAGAAGAGGATGCTTGGTGTTATATGAAGTTGATGTGCAAGAAATGCACCAGCACCACACCCTTATGTGCATGAAGTTTGATATTATCATCTTCAACTTTCCTCATGCAGGCCATTACTCTTGGCTATGCGAAAGAGACGATGAGCTCATACAGTAAGTGACCAAGTTGATCAAATTTGTCATAATTGTTTTCATATAACCGAAGCTTTCATTTCCAATTATCTTGTCACATATATTGCATGGTTAATCAATTTTGTTTAATCCAATGGCAGCTTCGTTTAAGCTCTTTATTGATTTTTCATATGCTATATATTTATTATACACATAGATATCTTGTTTTGGTGGTTCGGTTTGTACTGGATTGGAATTGAGTCCAAGCTAGTGCTTATGAGCTTCGTCACTCTAAATGGGACTTCTAATATACAATATGTTGGTATGTTGTCCCAATTTAATAAGTGAGTCCCAACATTTATAAGTTTGCTAAATAGCGATTAGTACATTAGTATCCAGACCGAGCCACTAAACGAGGTTAGTTACTTAATTACTCTGCTCTTTAGTGATCAATTTTGGGGGGGTTCTATTGAATTAGAATGCACAGGGATTTGTTGAAAGCATTCTTCAAAAGTGCCCGTGGGATGCTCAGCAAAGGTGGGGAAGTTCATGTTTCACACAGGGATGACTACCCCTACGATCAATGGAAGTTGACGGAGCTTGCAGAGAAGGCCGGCCTGGTTCTGAAAGAGAAAGCGTGGTTTGAGAAGTCGACCTACCCTGGCTACCACAACAAGAGAGGAGGAGGCATCCAGAGCAACAAAAAGTTTCCACTCAATGAATGCTACACCTTCAAATTTTCTCTGAAACACGAAACTTCTCATGAATTAAAGCCTGCTTGCAACCAAACAACTAGCACTCTAAGTGATGATATATCAGATGCTTTAAATATTATGCATTTGAAGTAATAGGCATGCATGAAGTATGTGAGCATTTGAAGTAAAAAGGCATATATTGTATCCTTTCATGTTATAGTTGGTTATTTAAATGCATTTTGCTAAATATCATCTCCGATCCACATGTACGTGGATGACTGTGAACTACTGATTAGCGCGAGATCCAGCACCGACGATAGCAAAGCCCCGGTTTCTAATAGATTCTGGTGCTTAAAACTATTTGAAAATGTAATTTTAAAGAGTTGCCCTTGCTTGGACGGTGGTTTGTGTTGTCTAGTTTTCATAAAGGTGATATTATATTAGATACTTTGTTGTTGATGCAAAAGACAGTGGTCTCGAGCATCTCAAAATCTGATTATCTTGTGTTTGAAGAATCAACTAGACCAATAGCAATAACAAAAATTTAATGGTTGATAAGCCTCAGCTATTTACATGACACTTATCTCCTTAGGCTAATAGAGTTCTGCTGTATCATGACTTCTGTAAAAGCAAATACAACTCTCGTCTAGAGAGCATGGTTTTGAGACCATAGTTTCAATGGTTACATGACACCAGATGACTAAATCATGTTTTAAATCTTACTAGGTTTTACTTTCTTGATTTGTACATTCCATAAATTCCATGTCGGTTACCACTTGCTAGAAGATACCAGATGCTGCTGTTGTGAGAGTCCCAACATTTTTTTCTTAAATATTTAGATATATTGTATTCTTTTATTTAATATTACCTCTCAAGTGAAGTACCATTAATTAGGTACATCACCCATTAATGATCCCCACATGCATGAGAGATCAAATTATATATCAAGTGACAAAATTGATAAGGAAAAAACTAGTTGACAATTTACAACAATACATGTACGTCATAGGTATTTTACAGCATTATATGTTCTAAAAGACAGAGTGTGCTTGTGTGTGTGTGATAGAGAAAGTGAGAGGAGGAAGGAGAGATGAAGCAGGTTTACAGAAGATATCCAAATGCAGTTGTGTTTGCTATGGCTTCCATTGCTATGGTTTATATGGTTCTGATAAAGGGTTCAAAAGGAACATCTTGGTTTGATTTTTCGCCGTCTCCATTTCCATGGTTGAGTACCAGTGTAGATAGGAAATCTGATTCTGCATTCACATTCAACCACATTTCATCACACATGGTAATCTACTTATTCAAGTGTGGTAATTTTATCTGTTGGTTTTTATTTTCTGCAGAATTTCATTATGTTGCAGACCTGTTTAACCAAATTTGACCAATCTAATCTTGTAGGATGCAGCAAGAAGGCAGAAGGCATTGCCTGATCTTGAAAGGAACTACACTGGTTCTGTTTCGAAAACAGATAAGCAGAAGGGAGATGTAAACCTGGAGAAACTTGAAGCTGGTCTAGCTACTGCCAGAGCATTGATAAGGGAAGCAACATCAAAATTCAACCATACAGCTCTTGAAGACGCAGATTATGTTCCACAAGGCGATATATACAGGAATGCTTACGCCTTTCACCAGTACTCAATGCTCACAACAAGAACCTTTGAATCTTTCAATAAATCCTAGCAATTAAATTGCCTTGCTCTTCAGTTCTGTCTTAATTTGTTTCAACTATGTAGGAGTCACCTCTTAATGGAAAGCCTGTTTAAGATATATGTCTACGAAGAGGGAGAGCCGCCTATATTTCACAATGGCCCTTGCAAGAACATATACTCTATGGAGGGCCTCTTCCTTAGCTTCATGGAAACTGATACCAAGTTCCGGACTCCGGACCCTGACAAGGCTCATGTCTATTTTCTTCCATTCAGTGTTGTGATGATCATTGAGTACCTGTTTCATCCAATTATTCGTGACAAAGCTGTTCTAGAGCGCACCGTGGTTGATTATGTTCGTGTAGTATCGAATAAGTATCCATTTTGGAACAGAAGCCTTGGAGCTGATCATGTCATGCTTTCTTGCCATGATTGGGTAAATTTCTTACTAACTAGTACTTCTAACTTATATTTTTGCTAGATTGTTAATCCGGATCGCATATTGAAACAAAAATCAGCATGATCAATGGTTCAAATTCACGATAGAGTAATTAGTATGCTATTATTTGCTTTTGTATAGGGGCCAAGGGCAACATGGTATGTTAAACAACTATACTTTGTTGCCATCCGCGTACTATGCAATGCAAATACTTCTGAGCACTTCAACCCTAAGAAAGATGCATCATTTCCTGAAATCAATCTGGAAACAGGTGACATAACCGGTCTAGTTGGTGGCTTGCCTCCCTCCGAACGTACAACCCTAGCGTTCTTTGCAGGACGCATGCACGGTCGAATTAGGCCATTACTTTTCCAACATTGGAAAGAGAAGGACAAAGATTTACTGGTCTACGAAACACTCCCCGAAGGGGTTTCATACCATGACATGCTGAAGAAAAGCAAGTACTGCATTTGCCCAAGTGGCCATGAAGTTGCAAGTCCACGAATTGCAGAGGCAATATATGCAGAGTGTGTTCCAGTTTTGATATCACAGCACTATGTTCTGCCTTTCAGTGACGTGCTCAATTGGGAGTCTTTCTCTGTTCAAGTTTCGGTAACCGAAATTCCACAGCTTAAAGAAATCTTAATGGGGATCCCTGAAGAGCAATATAGAAGAATGCAGAAAAGAGTGAAGCAAGTGCAAAGGCATTTTGTGGTGAACAGTCCCCCCAAGAGATTTGATGTTTTTCATATGATTATTCATTCAATCTGGCTTAGGAGACTGAATGTCCGCATTTATGGTTGATTTTCATATGATTTCTATGCTTTAATTAATTACATCATCTGATATCGACTTCAGTCATCCAATACTTGGGTATCATTTAACATTTTTTCCATTCTAATAATAGTTAAAATAATAAATAATTGGCCGAACATTATAATAATAATGTGCTCTACAAAGGTTATTGTTGGGTCCAAAAAGTTGGTCCATATTGCATGGAAAAGAAAGGTTAATGGACAACTGAGTCAAAAGACAAATGTATTTCCACTGGTAAACCTTTTTTTAAGACTTAAAAAGGTTGGATTTTTGCAACAAGTGTAGTGGTTTGGTGAAAATATTCTCTTAAAAAAGGTCTTAGGTTCGAATCTTAGCATGTATGTGGTATGTGTGAGTTTAGTATGTTATCACCTCTTTCAATGGAAAAGATCCAAAAAAAAGTTTAGTCTCTATTGTCCCCTTTTGAATTTGTACATTTTTAGAGTTATTACCCGAATAAAGAATTTAGTATTTTCACGTTTAATACTCGTATTATACACGTATGTACGTAATTTTTAATAATACACATGTTTTCTATACACGTCTCAAAGACTCGGTAAAATACATCTTTTTTAAAAAGCAAGCATACAATACTCGTATTGTACATGTACATACATGTGTTTTTTACAAAATTTTCAATAATACACAAAAAATTCATGTATTATACACATAATTTTCATATATTTTTGAATTAAAATGATACATATTTAAAAATTTTAAAAAAAATTATATAGTGGCCGAATTTTTCAGTTGTACTTTGGTCTTTTTTTAATTCAAAAATAGTATAGCCACGCGGCTGTACATTGTCTTTTTATTTTAAAAATGGTATAGCCGTGCGGCTATACTGCAAACGCTAGGAGGGACTTTTATTTTATTTATAAATAGTATATTCGAGCAGCTATACTCGCGTAATTTTTTTATTTATAAAAAACCGTATAGCCGCGCAGCTATACTTTGGTCTTCTTTTAAAATAGTATATCTGTGCGACTATACAAGTATAATTTTTTATTTATTAAAAACTGCATAGCCGCGCAGCTATACTTCGGTCTTAGTATAGCCGTGCAGCTATACGGCTTCTGACACGTGGGAGTCTAAACGCTATGAGGGACTTGATTTTATGTCATTTATAAATAAAAAAATAAAAAGAAGGGGATAGCTGCACAGCTATACTTCCGTCTTTTTTTTAATTAAAAAATAGTATAGCTAACAGCTATAATGCTTTTGACACTTCAACTCCTAAACGCTAGGAGGGACTTTATTTTATTTTATTTATAAATACTATAGTCGCGTGGCTATACTCTAGTGTCTTTTTATATTATAAAAAGGTATATACAAGCAACTATACTTCGGTCTTTTTTTTAATTAAAAAATCGTATAGCCGCCAGCTATACTAATTTTGGCACGTGGGCGCCTAAACACTAGGAGGACTTTATTTTATTTATAGCCGCACAGCTATACTTCTGTATGTTTTTATTTTGTTTAAGTATAGTAAAGCCGTGCGGCTGTACTGTGGTATTTTTTTAAAATTTGTAATTTATTTTAATAAGACGAATAGGGGAAACCTTTTGTCTCTGAAAATTGGGGAAAAGGGAAGAAGGGAGGAAGAGAGAAGGGAAGAGGAGAGGAAGAACAGTAGCTTCCTCTAACCTCAAAGTGAAAATGACTAGAGTGTCTCTAAACCATATATGGTAATAGAAATTAGATTGTTTAAGTGAAGTAGTTTATCTCATACGTACTCTTACAAAAATCGCACCAACAACTACTATTCATTATATTGCTCACTCCCTAATTCTCCTATTCTAAGCAAGTAATCATGTCATTAGTTGCTTATAAACAAATTATTGTACTCAATCAGTTAATAACGTTCCTTTTTTTAATAAATATTTTTAATACAAAAGAAATACAAGAATAAAAAGTGTACGGAACTCCGTAGATGCATTACCATAAGTTGACTTGATTACATAAGTCTAACTTTATGGCACCCCTTGGCTTTCGGAAAGGTTGTCGTCCAACTAAAGAAATGTTCATGACCCATGATGTCTATAGCATTCATGTGGTGATGAGTGATGTAGATATAGAAGTTACATTACGTGTTACATCACGGGATGATGCGTTGTAGACACAGAGATTATATCAACTCATAAACGAGCTATATTTACTAATTCTTAATCTAATCTAAGTCATAAATGATGTTTCACATGTGATTAAAGATTTTTTATTTTTTATTTGGTTAATTGATTAAGAAATATGGTACTAGTAAAACAATTATTGATCTAACTAAGTACCGATGGAAAAGAAAAATATGAAAAATTTGTATTGAGTTGGTTTTCATTCATTTTCAGTACTAGCTACTAGCTATTACTGAGAAAAACTTATATGAAACGGGTTTGTGTAATTCCTTTCTTTATCATCATCATATGAACCAGTGATGTGAAAGCTAAAGAGGGAGGAGTTATATGAGCTCGTTACTTAATATATGTGGTATTCTATTCACCCCTGTATATAATATATACATATCCATCAGCACAAAACAGATGGGATTAATAATTAATATTTAATTAGTATTGGAGATATATTTAATTATGCGGTTTGTTTGAGTTAATTTCTGGCATTTGATTCAAAGCATGTGGAGTCTTCTTGGTTAATTACCATCAACCCAAACTGCAGCCTTCATAGCTTTGGCTCTGGATTTCTCATCGTGCACAGACAACTTGATCACCACGTTTTGCTGCAAAACCAAAACAACTTTTAATTAGCATAAAACCCAGGTTTTGAATTGCTTCCTCTGTTCTGTTTCCCACAATGCCTATAATTTTTAGGTTTTTGAGGTTTTAGACATAAAAAAAATTTCACTTTTGGAAAAAGCCAAAGCTTTTTCAAAAAAGACAAAAAAACCGCTCAACTTTCACATCAAAGACATGCAAATGTATTGGATTCCTTAGGAAATCTAAAAATAAATAAGGGCATTTTTGTCCATTTTTGCTTCTTTTAAAATTTTTCTTTCTCCTTTTGCTTTTTCCAAAATGATATTCTTCAATTTGTGCGATTTTCTCTTCAACTATGTTGTTTGTGTTGCAATGTTCCTCCTATGTTGAGTGTTTTTACTACGGCTGTGTCTGGTTCGCTGAAAGCAGTTCATGCAAATCAATTTTCGTGTCATTTTCTAAAGAGATAGAAAATGGAGATTCATATCTCATGTTTGATAATGCTGTGAATAGCTCCGCTCCGTAAAACAAATAGACAAAATCAAATTTTGATGCACACAAAAAAGGTTCCACTTGTCCTACTGCTTTGCTTTAATTGATCATATGAACATCAATGTGTATTGTCATCCAATCGTGACTTTAATTACTGCTTTGCTTTGCACAACGTCATCCAAGATTTTAAAAAAAAGAAAAAAAGAAAACGTTGATTAATAAATATAATTCATTACAATAATGGTGTTTTATTATTATAAAGATTATGTGTGCTTTTTACAAAAGTGGTTGTCGGGTCCCAAAAAGTTGATTATTATAAAGATTATGTGTGCTTTTTACAAAAGTGATTGTAAGTTGATTATTATAAAGATTATATGTGCTTTTTACAAAAGTGGTTGTCGGGTCCCAAAAAGTTGCATGGAAAAGAAATCTTTTTACAAAGGCGATTGGTGTCTCAAAAAGAAGAATTTATTTCCACTGGTAAACCTTTCATTATTAAGACTCAAGCAGGGCTTTATGACTAGAGGGTTAAATCAAATGAACGGTGGGTTTTATTTTTGTCAAGCACTCAAATTCTGAACCGTGTGGCATTCAACAGAAGAGGTTCACACTCAGAGGTGACCTATGGGGTGTGCAAGGTATGTGACCGCACAGGGCCCCCAAAATTTAGGGGCCTCCAAATTTTTCCAAGTCAATCCATTAAATTAACTAAAACATGAAAATAAAAATGAAATATTAAATATCACCCCACAACACCACATGCAAGACACCAAAACCAAAATTGAGTTGAATATTAATTATCAACAAATTCTACGACTTAAGAGAGTAGAGGCCCTAATTTTATTCATTTTCCTTATCCCAACTCTCACGCTGCAACTCTTCTTTTTATTTATTTATTATGGTTTGAAACCTATGTTTTCCTCTTCCCAACTCTCAAGCTGCAAAACCATTATAATATTCTTTTCTCTTTCAGTAAGTCTTTTTCACTCTCCTCCATCAAAATAAAGTCATTTCTCTTCAGTACCAGTGTACCACCCTCTTCCATCAAATTTTGGATTGTAGAAACCCAAGCTTTAGCCATTTCCCCAAAATCACAGTTCTTTTCTCCCTCCCTTATTCACATGAGAATTCACCAAGCATTGAAATTGGAAAATCAATTTATCAGCTCTGTGATTTGGAAGGGTGACTAAAGAAATTTTTCTGGGAAGCTCTTTCCAAATGTGTTCTTCCCGTGTCAGAAATTTTTGTTTCTATATGGATTTTTTTTTCCTACTTGTATATATAGGGCCTCGACATCCATATTTGCACAGGGCCTCCAAAATCAATGGACCGGCTCTGTTCACACTTGACTCAGTCTAGAAAGAAGAAGAAGAAGAAGAAAATACAAAAGCGTTGTTAATTTTGTGGCAACTCTTTCTTTCCAAGCTCTTTCTTTCTTTTTTCTCTTCAACTTCCATTTTCGATCACATGATTCATGTTAGGTGTGAAATTATGCCATTTTCCACGAACAAGATTATCTTGGTGCAGTAATTTTCTTAAATTTACTGTCATGTTATGGAAAAAATATATTAAAAGAATCGTAGTAGATAATGATTTAATGTGACGGTTGATGTGGAATTACTACTTTAATTTTATGTAGAAGAGGTTGAATGCTTGCTACTATTACCCATTATGAAGTTATAGTATTTATAGAATAAAAAATAAAATTCTTGAGTTTCACATTAAAATCTGTAATATAATTGAAAAATTGGAAATTAAATTGATTACGGAGAAGCAGTTGATCTTCGTTTGCAATCTTAGTTGGGATGCCTATGCCAGAGTTTCTTTGATTCTGTGTGATCGTTAGTGGAGACGCATCAGATTGTCTTAATTTCGATGTTAGATTGCTCCATTATTGTAATGGTCATTTGTGGCTAGTGGCTTTTTTAGCTGAATTACGAATGCAATTCCAGAATTTCTCGACACAAAAAAAAAAGCAGTTGATCTCATATTATTTTTTGTCTCTCATATTTGTAACTTCATTCCCAATTCAAATTCATCCATACCAAGCAACTAACCAAAGATATATATTTCATTAATTGCTTATACACATATTTGCTTACTCCATAGATGCATCATGAAGTCATATTGAGTCATCGTAATCATAGTAATATAACAAACAGTGTGACGCTGTTAGAACCGTTTTTTAGTTTGCATTGTCCATATGCTTACTTTTCTACGTAAACTTCTAATATTAATCCAGAAGCAGGTTCATCTTGAATAAATTAGTCGTATTAAATTTATGAATAAATCACATGGAGGAATCCTTTTTTCCATTTAATCGTGAGGATAAGTTTAATAAAGTGTATACATGGTCGATTTCGGGGCTTGATGTATATGATTTTTAAATAAACTTGTCGTCTTTACCTCCTTTTGTTTTTGTCAATGGGAGAGTGAAATTCAAACTTAAGAACTCTCTCACGTCAATGTTAGAAATACTGAAGTGTAAATCTCGTCAACCCTTGTAAGACCCAAAATTTATTTTCGGGACAATACATACCTTGAAATCAAGTGAGGATGGAGACACATCATTAGAGTTCAGAGATAAGAAGAAAAGAAATAGTGGAGACAGAAAAGAAAATACAATTGAGGAGGGCTCTTCAATCAAATTAGGGATTAAAGATACTTTTTTTTAATAGTGCTTTAAGATCTACATAAACAAGAGAAGATAATTCCGGAATTTAATTTATTAAATTTAAAATGACATATGATGCAGTTCCCTTCTATTGAGGGATCTCTCAAATAAATTTATTTGAAAGACGCCTTTTAGGGTACCCTACAATTCTTTTCCCAATAATCCAAACCATCTATTTTTTAGGTCTTCATTCATAGATCATCCTTACAAAAAAATTAGACAAATCGGAAACCGTTTCGACATCCAATTGTGTCTTACAAAATCAATGAACACGGTGCTTCAAGAAAATACTAAAATTTCAATAACTCAATTGAGTGGTCAAATGATATCGGATTCAAGTGATTTTTTTTGTAGAAATGATCTTTGAATGAGTATCTACAAAATAAACGGTTTTGATTAGTGAAATACAATCCGGAATGGGGCCTACAAGGGATGTCCTTCAAATAAGCTTATTTGAGGGATCCCTCAATAGAAACTTTGCTTTGTCGTTTTGTTTAATTTCACTTAACAATATTGTCGTTTTAATAACTTTGTGACACCCCTTGGCCTTTCAGAAAAGTTGTGGTCCTTTTTATTTTATTATCCAAAATAGACTGCTCAGTATCAAAGGGAAAAGTGTTTGCATTTACATATCAAATTCCTTGTAAAGTAATGAACACGACATACTGCTTGAGGTAAACGACACAGATCTGTCAATTGACAACGAGTTCATACTTGGGTTGACCCCATACCTACAATCCACACGTTACGCAAGAGACTTGAAACTACAAACGAGTCCAAGTATTTTCACGGTTAGTTTCTACATCAAGAGATACAATATATGTCACGTCAAGTGATGAAGTGCTGCAGACACAGAGGTTATATAATCCTAACGTATACAATTTTTTATGCATGACCGAGAAAGAATTTGTCGATGCCGATAAATTCATCCTATTAGAAAAATGCAACTTTATACAGAAGTCAGTGTTAGTACTTAGCAGTAATTGTTGACCCTTACTTCTTAGGTTTTGGTAGAGAATGAGTGTGTATGCATTACTCATGCTAGTCCATGAATCAATTGGACCTTCAACATCAACCGTTACACTTCTCCATCTAAATTATAATTGAGTCATATTTATTATAATCCAAGAAATGGAATCAAATCTCATATATTTTATTTTTTTCGAATGAAAATAAAGAATTAGACAAGAATAACTCCTTAGTGAAGATCGCATGATGCAAATGTCCACTCTCGATCCGAAACAAGAGAGAACCTACACTTCGAAAAGCCCTCTCCCATCCCCTTATATGAGTTATATATATATTGATCTAAATTATAAATGATGTTCAACATGGAATTAAGAAATATGGTACTAACAATTATTAATCTAACTATTTATTGAGAAAAAATAAAATCTAAACAATTTTATTGAGTTGGTTTTCATTCATTTTCAATACTAGCATATAATTAAATTAGTGATTGGTTTTGTTTCATTTATGACTTTTAGGATATAGATGCCCCAATTCATGGGCATGAATTAAGTGAGTGAAAAGTGATGTGTAACAGATTGATTTTAATAGATAATTCCATCTATCAAATTATTAATGGAATTTTGCATGCAGCACATGGATTGTTAGACCAAGTCATATTCATTGACAAGTCAAGTCCTTCATTGGGTTTGGGTGATTAAACTTCATAGAAAGATCCATAGTATACCTTGAATGCCATTTTACCTTTTTGTGAGATCATAATTTGTTGTTGCATACATCCTAAAGTGAAAAACAAATTACTTTTAATAAAAAAGAGAAGTAAAAAACATAAAATGTTACAATCTACACTTATATGTAAGACAAATACAAATCATATAGGATATAGCCAATTTCACAATGTGGCCGCCAATAGGAAGTTACCTAAGTGGTTCTCATTTCTCATCAGCAAAGCACTTTGGCTTGGCTTGCCTCACCAAAGGCTCCATCCAAGAGGCCTCTCTATAAATACCAAATCCCTTCTCACATTCTTCACCAATTTTCCACAGCTAGCATAATAGGACACACCCTCTCTCTCTCTCTCTCCACCATCAATCTCCCAAACCCAAAAGAGCCAGTAGCTTGAGAGATCTTTGGCTCATCATCACAATCTTCATCAATTAAGAACCAGGGATCATGAAGGTATGTGCGAAACTGAGGTCCATGCAAAAGATATATGCATTGTGGGAAACAGAGGAAGAAATTCAAGACTTGGGTTTATGCTAATTGAAAGTTGTTTTGGTTTTTTTGCAGCAAAAGATGGTGATCAAGTTGTCTGCTGTGCATGATGAGAAGTCCAGAGCCAAAGCTATGAAGACTGCAGTTGGGGTTGATGGTAATTAGCCAAAACTCTATCTTTTTTACAACATTCTGAATCAAAACACAGAAATTAACTTAAACCCAATAATTAAATATACCTCCACTACTAATCAAAGATCAATTTTTAATCCCATCTGTTTTGTACTGACGCATATGTACATATGATATACAGGGGTGAATTCCGCAAGTTTACAGCAGGACAAGGACCTAATAGAGGTGACAGGGGATGGAGTTGATGCGGTTCTGCTCACAACTCAACTCAGAAAAAGGTTGAAGTATGCTGAGTTGGTCAGTGTGAACCCCGTGGAGGAAAAGAAAATTGAGGAAAACAAGGAGAAAGAGAAGAACAAAGAGCCAGAGGCAACAATCCAGTATCTCATGGGCTGTCCTCCTCCTCAATACATTTGCGCTCCCTGTCCACCATACCAAGATCCCAGTTGCTCTATTTTGTAATTAATAGTAATGCATAAAGCTAGGCAGACGTACAACCATATTCTTCAATTTTTGCGATTTTCTCTTCAACTATGTTGTTTGTGTTGCAATGTTCCTCCTATGCAAAGAAATTACAAAGAGAAAATGAGATTATGTACGTTGCACAAAATTGGCAACTTTTCAATAGGCGCACCATCCTAGTACATGCATGCTCCACACCTTTTTGGGAGCTCATAATTTGGTGCTGCATACATCCTAAAGTGAAACACAAATATCTTTTCATAAATGAAAAGAAAAAAAAACATAAATTTGGTGTTGCATGCATAAATTTGTTTTTATCAATAAAATGCTATCGCTCTTTATAAATAAATAAAAGTTTAAATTTTAAAAAGAGGTCGTGAGGAGAAGAGAAACTTTCAAGCGACACGTTTAGAGCAACTCCACCCATTTGCCCTTGGCCATGGCAAGGGGGGGGGAGCTATGGCAGCCACTATTCACGTGAATAGTGGTTGCCCTTGCAAATTAGAATTTTGTGTTTCCACCCGTTGCCCTTGCTAAGGGCAGTTACTATTCATTTTTTTGTTTTATTCACAACTTTTTTTACCTCAATAATTAATTTGGATAATATTTTAGGATAAGATTTACGGGTTCCTACGTGTCAAGATTATTCATAATCGGATAAGATTTTTGGGTTCAAATTTCGAATGAATTTCAAAATTCAAATTTCAGATAAATTTTTGGGTTCAAATTTCGGATGAATTTCAAAATTCAAAATTCAAATAAATTTGGGTTCAAATTTCGGATGAATTTCAAATTTCAGATAAGATTTTCATCCAATCAAATCAAGCCACGTGGCATCTCTATCTTGCCAAATTTTTCTATAAAATCAGAGGCTCACCTCATACTTCTCACACCACATCTTTCAATATTATCATTTCTTAGATTTTAGAATTCATACTCCATTCATTCTCAATGTAAGAATATAGGAGATGCTTGGAGAGGCAAGAGAGAGAAAGAAAGGAGAGAAACCGTAGAGCCGATGAAATCAATGAGTTGCAGAGGTAAGTCGATGAACAAGTTCTCATAGCAGTGGCAATGGAAGAGGAAGAGAACCAAGGTCGCCGCCGTGGTTCACAAGTCGGCCGTCGCCGGAATGTGGACAGACATAGGCATTCTCGGGGGTAAAAATCTTTTGGAAGATTATTTTATCCCAACTGCTTTGTACTCTGATATTGATTTTCGAAGGCGATTTAGAATGCAACCCCATTTGTTCAATAAAGTCATGCATGATATTTGCAATTATGATGCATACTTTGTTCAAAAGTGTGATGCTACTGGGGTTTTGGGCCTTCTTCCGGAGCAAAAGCTTACAGCTGTTATACGAATGTTGGCGTATGGAGCATCTGCTGATCAGGTGGATGAGGTTGCCCGAATGGGGAAGTCCACTACGTTGGAGGCTTTGGTAAGATTTTGTGATGCAGTTGAAAATCTGTACACTAGGGACTACCTGCGTAGACCTACTCCCAGGGACCTCCAACGGCTTCTACAAAAAACCGAAGCTCGAGGATTTCCAGGAATGATTGGTAGCATCGACTGCATGCATTGGCAATGGAAGAATTGCCCAACTGCTTGGCAAGGTGATTACGGAAATAGAAAAGGCACAAAAAGTATCATCCTGGAAGCCGTTGCTGGCTTCGACACATGGGTTTGGCATGCTTTCTTCGGAGTTGCCGGAGCCCAAAATGACCTCAACGTCCTGGGTCAATCTCCGGTCTTCAACGATGTTTTGAGCGGCCAAGGCCCCAATATTACCTATCAAGTCAACAATACAGTCTACCAGACGGGGTATTATCTAGCTGACGATATCTACCCAAGGTGGACCACATTTGTCAAATCCATTCCGAATCCCCGATCCCATAAGCAAAAATTATTTGCTACCTATCAAGAAGGATACAGGAAAGATGTCGAAAAATGTTTTGGCATCCTTCAAGCTCGATGGTTGATTGTTCGAGGTGCGGCCCGTATGTTTGATGAGGAGATCCTCCGAAGCATTATGATGACTTGCATTATCCTCCATAATATGATTGTGGAGGATGAGTACGATTATGATGCTGGAGAGGTCTATGAACCGGATCCAATAAACACGGCCTTGACCCGGATTTATGAAAGGCCCATGGGGCCAAATGGAGAACCGTTTGAGCTGGAACCGTTGGTGAGGAATGATCCTATGATGACCCGAATGATAGATCGATATACAGAGATGCAATCTTCGTATATTCATGAAAGCTGTCAACTTGACTTGATAGAGCATATATGGGCGGTGAAAGGGAATGAAGATGAATGATGGGCCTTCGCAGCCTTTCGGCCAATGGGCCTCGATTCCTTTTGGATGGGTGAGTCTTCACTCATAGGGGAATCGAGAGGTGAATCCGATGTCGTTGAATCACGGAGAGGCGTCTCGTTTAACACAATGTTGGGACCCGTGGGAATAATTATGAAGCGTTTACAATATTTCACCACCTCCCAACATTCATGATGGGTGAAACTTTTTTTGCCACCCCCGGTTGCACCGAACCACATCTGTGCTTGAATGAGCTATTTAACAAAAAAATGGCAATGCAATAAATATTTAAAATATATTGGATATGCAAGTAACAAAATAAAAATAATGGAAATGCAATTAACCTTACAAATAAATTGGAAGTGCAAGAAATATGAAGAAACAATTGGAAATGCAATAAATATTAACAAAATATTGAAAATGCAAGAAATATTAACAAAATATTTGAAATGCAAGAAATATTAACAAAATATTGAAAATGCAATAAATATTAACAACATATATATATATATATATATTAGGACATTAAACTTAATAAAACGAAAATTACAAAATACTTACCTCGTTAGTACGATTTTCCCCACTTCTATACAAGTTCATCGCTTTTGCCAAGGCATCTCTCCATTTTGCCATCTCTTTGTTGAAAAGTTTCCACCTACTCGACAATGCCATTTCCGTACGAGGCGACTCCGGAATTTTTTCACAAAATTCAGCATGAATTTTTTCCACATATGGAAAAATTTCATCTCATTGCCTGTCACGGGACAATGACAAACTCGAAGCCAAGTCTCACACAAAGAAACATCTTCCATGGTGCTTCACGCCCCTCCGGTTTCAATAGAAGAAGCCATAAAAATAAGAAATAAAAATATAAGGTGAAAGAGATGAAAATGTTAAGTGAAGAGTGAAAAAAATGTTGAGTAATTGTAGAAGTATAATAAAATTTATGAGAATTGGTGTTGAAAGTGAAGGGTATTTATAGGTATTTATAGGAAAAAAAAAATCAGAATTTTAAAGTATTTTATAGTATTTTTTTTAAAAAAATTTCGATTTCTTTTCATAATTTTATTGCTGGAAAATCGCCAGCCGTTGGATGAAGGCTGTGGAATCAAATCGGAGCGCTGGGGGCGTGCCACGTGGCTTCCAGCCGTTGGGCCTGCGTCGAGCTGACGTCAGCGCACGCTGGTTCAAATTTTTTTTACCATTGGCGCGTGCAATGCACGCGCCAACGGTAAAAAAAATTTGATTACCGCGTGTCGACGTCACCCTGACGTCGACATGACGTCACCCCCCGCGTTTTGGACCTTGGGTAGAAGTTGCCTTCGGGCCAGCCCGAGGATGGGTCCCACACCCCCCGGGCCTGGGCTGCTCCGCTGGAACGCATTTTTTTTTTTTCCCCTAGCCTCGGGCTGGGCTTGCTTGCTGGAGTGGCTCTTAGCACTTTTTGAGAAGGTGGTATTTTTGTATCTGTGAATAGCTTCCGCTCCGTAAAACAAATAGACAAAATCAAATTTTCATGCACTCAAAAAAGGGACCACTTGTCCTACTACTTTGCTTTAATTGATCATATGAACATCAATGTGTATTGTCATCCAATCGTGACTTTTAATTACATCACATGATACCAACCTTACTTGAAGCACAACGTCAAAAAAAAAAAAAAAATTAATAAATATAATTGATTACAATAATGGTGTTTTATTATTATAAAGATTATGTGTGCTTTTTACAAACGTGATTGTTGGGTCCCAAAAAGTTGCATGGAAGAGAAATCTTTCCACTGGTAAACCTTTCATTATTAAGACTTAAGTCAAGCACTCAAACTCTGAACCGCGTGGCATTCAACACAAGAGGTTCAGACGACTTGACTCAGTCTAGAAAGAAGAAGAAGAAGAAAATACAAAAGCGTTGTTACTTTTGCGGCAACTCTTTCTTTCTTTTTGACAAACAGTGTGACGCTGTTAGAACTTGTTTTTAGTTTGCATTACGTCCATATGCTTACTTCTCTACATAAACTTCTAATATTAATCCAGAAGCAGGTTCATCTTGAATAAATTAGTCCTATTAAATTTATGAATAACTCACATGGAGGAATCTTTTTTTCCATTTAATCATGAGGATAAGTTTAATAAAGTGTATACATGGTCGATTTCGGGGCTTGATGTATATGATTTTTAAATAAACTTGTCGTCTTTATCTCCTTTTGTTTTTGTCAATGGAAGAGTGAAATTCAAACTTAAGAACTCTCTCACGTCAAAATTAGAAATACTGAAGTGTAAATCTCGTCAACCTATAAGACCCAAAATTTATTTTCGGAGCAGTACATACCTTAAAATCAAGTAAGGATGGAGACACATCATTAGAGTGATCAGAGACAAGAAGAAAAGAAATAGTGGAGACAGAAAAGAAAATACAATTGAGGAGGGCTCTTCAATCAAATTAGGGATTAAAGATACTTTTTATTTATTTATCGTGCTTTAAGATCTACATAAACAAGAGAAGATAATTCCAGAATTTTATTAAATTTAAAACGACATATGATATAATTTGCTTTGTCGTTTTGTTTAATTTCACTAAACAATATTGTCGTTTTGTTTAATTTCACTAAACAATATTGTCGTTTTGTTTAATTTCACTAAACAATATTGTCGTTTTAATGACTTTGTGACACCTCTTGGCCTTTCAGAAAAGTTGTGGTCCTTTTTATTTTATTATCCAAAATAGACTATGTTCAGGATCAAAGGGAAAAGTGTTTGCATTTACATATCAAATTCCTTGCAAAGTAAAGAACACGACGAACTGCTTGAGGGAAACGACACAGATCCCACGTTACGCAAAAGACTTGAAACTACAAACGAGTCCAAGTGTGTTTTCACATTGGCTTGATATAACTCATTTACGTATCTACATCAACAGATATATTATATGTCATGTCAAGTGATGAACTGCTGTAGACACAGAGATTATATGCGTGACCGAGAAAGAATTTGTCGATACCAATAACTTCATCCTACTAGTAAAATGCAACTTTATTCAGAAGTCAGTGTTAGTGCTTAGCAGTAATTGTTGACCCTTGCTTGTTAGGTTTTGGTAGAGAATGAGTGTGAATGCATTACTCATACTAGTCCATGAATCAATTTGACCTTCAACATCAACCGTTACACTTCTCCATCTAAATTATAATTGAGTCATATTTATTATAAGCCAAGAAATGGAATCATATCTCATATATTTTATTTTTTTCAAATGTAAATAAAGAATTAGACAAGAATAACTCCTTAGTGAAGATCACATGATGCAAACGTCCACTCTCGATCCGAAACAAGAGAGAACCTACACTTCAAAAAGCCCTCTCCCATCCCCCCTATATGAGTTATATATATTGATCTAAATTATAAATGATGTTCAACATGGAATTAAGAAATATGGTACTAACAATTATTAATCTAACTATTTATTGAGAAAAAAAAAATCTAAACAATTTTATTGAGTTGATTTTCATTCATTTTCAATACTAGCATATAATTAAATTAGTGGTTGTATTTTGTCAGGCCATCACGGGGAATTAAAAATCAGAAGTCTAAACGTTGATTGGTTTTGTTTCATTTATGACTTTTAGGATATAGATGCTACAAATTACAATTACAAACAAGACCGAGTCTTTTTTGGGGTCAATGAGTCTTCTTCCACCACCATGCGCAGGATATAGACTACTTGTATACTCTTCTAATTTTTCCAATTTTGGATTTTTCCCAAACAATGGATTAGACCTAAACCTTGTCATGGTCACTAATGCATCAGTCAACATACCACTATGCTTGCCCCATTGTACTATACTCTTCTAATTTTTCCAATTTTAAAATCATGTGATGACTTCATGCTTTACAAAACTTGTTTTATATGACAATTATGTATTTTTCTTGCAGAAGGTTTGTTGTGGAAGAAAAGTTGATTGACCTGCCCCAATTCATGGGCATGAATTAAGTGAGTGAAACGTGATGTGTAACAGATCGCTTTTAATAGATAATTCCATCTATCAACTCATTAATGGAATTTTTCATGCAGCACATGGATTGTTAGACCAAGTCATATTCATTGACAAGTCAAGTCCTTCATTGGGTTTGGGTGATTAAACTTCATAGAAAGATCCATAATACCTTGAATGCCATTTTACCTTTTTGTGAGATCATAATTTGTTGTTGCATACATCCTAAAGTGAAAAACAAATTACTTTTAATAAAAAAGAAAAGTAAAAAACATAAAATGTTACAATCTACACTTATATGTAAGACAAATACAAATCATATAGGATATAGCCAATTTCACAATGTGGCCGCCAATAGGAAGTTACCTAAGCGGTTCTCATTTCTCATCAGCAAAGCACTTTGGCTTGGCTTGCCTCACCAAAGACTCCATCCAAGAGGCCTCTCTATAAATACCAAATCCCTTCTCACATTCTTCACCAATTTTCCACAGCTAGCATAATAGGACACACCCTCTCTCTCTCTCTCTCTCTCTCTCTCTCTCTCTCCACCATCAATCTCCCAAACCCAAAAGAGCCAGTAGCTTGAGAGATCTTTGGCTCATCATCACAATCTTCATCAATTAAGAACCAGGGATCATGAAGGTATGTGCGAAACTGAGGTCCATGCAAAAGATATATGCATTGTGGGAAACAGAGGAAGAAATTCAAGACTTGGGTTTATGCTAATTGAAAGTTGTTTTGGTTTTTTTGCAGCAAAAGATGGTGATCAAGTTGTCTGCTGTGCATGATGAGAAGTCCAGAGCCAAAGCTATGAAGACTGCAGTTGGGGTTGATGGTAATTAGCCAAAACTCTATCTTTTTTACAACATTCTGAATCAAAACACAGAAATTAACTTAAACCCAATAATTAATTATATCTCCACTACTAATCAAAGATCAATTTTTAATCCCATCTGTTTTGCACTGATGTATATGTACATATGATATACAGGGGTGAATTCAGCTAGTTTGCAGCAGGACAAGGGCCTAATAGAAGTGATAGGGGATGGAGTTGATGTGGTTACGCTCACAACTCTGCTCAGAAAAAGCTTGAAGCATGCTGAGGTGGTTAGTGTGTCTGTGGAGGAAAAGAAGGAGGAAAAGAAGGAGGAAAAGAAGGAGGAAGAGAAGAAGAAAGAACCAGAGGCAATGTTCCAGTATGTCATGCCCTGCCCTCCTCAATACCTTTGCCCTCCCTATCCACCATACGAAGAACCTGGTTGTTCTATTATGTAATTATTAGCTATACATAAAGCTAGGCAGAGCACTATTATTTATGAATATATATATATATATATATATATATAGAGGAAGTTCTCTTCAAAAAACAAAACAAAAAAACTATATAGAGGGAGTTGGCAAATTCACAGTCTGCAATTGTTCTGCAGATTTACATTCCATTCTTCAATTTGTGTGACTCTCTCTTGAACTTTGTTGTTTGTGTTGTGTTGTGCCTCCTGTGTTGTGTTTTTGCCAACTTGAACCCTTGGCTAGAAAACAAGAAAACGGAGGTTGACCCTGAAAGAAAAGATTGAAAAAAATCAAAGATTTCAAACCAGAAAACTTCAAATGAGAGGTTTCAAGGAATGAGAGAGGATCAGACTTCACATAACATCATCATGATGAGGGTTGTTCGGACGGTCAGTCTAATTGCTTGACATGCATGACTCCCTTGATGCCAACTAAGAAAAGTCAACATTCTGATTGACTAGTTGCTTAGATGGCATCCAGGGAGCCAGGCACATCATGCCCCAATTGACTGGTGGATGAACTTCATCCTTAACCTTCATAAATAGGCCTGCACAGCAATTACTCTATGAATTAAAATCCAACCCATTTTTCCAAGCCAAAACCCACCAAAAAAAGAAGGGAAAAGGAAAAAAGAAGGAAAGAAATTGGTAGCTAAACATACTTGCCTTACATCTAAAGTAATGGATCTGAAGCTAACAAAACCATGGTGGTATTTTTGATCTCTCTCTCTCTCTCTCTGCAATTACTTGCTTGCTTCACTGCAATAGAAGTATCGAGAGAAGTGGGATTTATAAGAAAAGATGGAAGTGATAGAAGTAGGCAAAGACAGCAGAAAATCCAATTGCAGATCATGAGAGATTAGATGGCACTAGGCATTCTCAAACAGACGGCTGAAAAAGTTTTTTTCTTCAACATTTCTCTCTTTCTCTTTCTTGGGAAACAAACAGAATTAACAATGCTTAATTTGCTGCACTCAAATCCAATGGGGCAGCTTTATAATCATATTAGCAGCTGCATAAAGCCAAAGCTGGCGGCCTCAAGCTTTGCTGCAGGAATGTGCAAGTTTGGCTGTTTCTGCCGTTGGATGTGATGACTTTTTTTGCTTTCACCATAAATTTTAAAGTTCCAGGTATGAAGTAGGCAGCTGGTGATAGGAAAGAGAGAGAGAAGAGAGAGAGAGACCCAATGGCCTTGTTGACCGGTATTAGACGGCGCCAAAGTCACTGCATGAGACAAATCACAGCCTTGCCTTAGGTGGTTTAACGTACTGTCCTACAGCCGTTTGTGGGACATGTTACCAATGCTACATACAAAGTTTCAAGGTGGGAGAGATGGGGCACATGTTAGAATTACGTGTATTTAATCCCAAAGAATTAAAAACCAGATTGGGAATGATTGTGGAAACGCATAGTGCATTATTACATAAAAATGGAAGTTTTTATACTTCTAGTGTGATATATACGGATCCTGAGCCTTTGTATTTAGAAATGGTGCATTTACGCGTATTTTATAAAATATAGACCATTCTACTAATACAATGCTTGTGGATATGTCACATTGGCTATAGTAAGTTTGTTTTCTTTTTAAGAAAACTAACACTGTTAGATGTTAGTCCCTTTGACCCAAAAAAAAAAGAGAAAAAGAAATCCCTCCATCTCCATCTCGAGTTTAGTCTCGCCTATCGTTCTCTTTGTTCTTCCTCTTGTGTGTTTGTAATATGATTTTTACTTTTTTATTTTGGCTTCTTCAATCGATAACTATTGGAAATCTGCTCCAATCAATAGATTTTAAATTCCAAATACACTATTTCAATTGATTGTTATCGCAAGCTGTAGTTATCATCTGAAATTAATAAGAAAAATACCTAATTAATAGCTATTTTGATTGATGAATGGGCTTGGTAGTACGACACCTGAACTTGGGAGGAGGGGTGGACTAGGAGAACATGCTGTTCAGAACAGTTGGTTGTATTGTCTCCTAGCATAGGAAATTCCTTGTCATAGTTTTCTGAAAAGCAGAACCAATTATGAGTCTACTACGTCTTGGTTGCCTCATATTGTAAGCTGAAGCTCCATATTAAAGTAGAAGAAGAAGCCAAAAGACCCAAAAAAAGAAGATCATATTACAAATACACACAGGTAGAATCAAGAGAGCGGTAGGCAAAACTAGAGAATTTATTGTCAAAGGGATTGTTATTCGTTTTTTCTGTCTAAGGGACTAACAGTGTTAGTTTTTTAAAAAAGAAAACAAACGTATTGTAGCCGATGTGGCATATTCACACGTATTGGATTAGTTGAATGGTCAGATTTTTTGAAATGCGGGTAAGAAGTTGGATCTATGGTAGACCACTAGAATTGAGTTAGCCCTAAAAAGTCAGACTCAGCCCATTCTAACCATGGGCAAGAAAGTGAACCATGGCCCAGTTGTTTGTGTGGCCTTCAATTTGTCTTTCTCCTCCAAAATTCAATTGTATGTTGATCCATAAAATCCCAACCCAACCAACCTAGGAAAGCCAGGATTGGCCTTCAGATTTTTTTAGAACAAGGTTAGGGAACTTTAGGGCCCGTTCGTTTAAGTTTTCAGCGCCCGTTTTCATTTTCAAAAAACAAAAACAAACCAAGAATCCGTTCGGTGGACTAAAACAGAAAACACTGAGAATGTTTTCATAAAATGAAAACAACATCACGTGTACTTCGGAAAAACAGAAAAAATGTGTTTTCATTCTCACAGAAAACAAACGCCTAAAACATAAACCGAAATGCACAACCCCATCGCTCTACCCAGCAAAACAGAAACGAAACGAAAATCAAACTCACCATGGCCATGATTGTCAGACCATCATCATCACAACCGCCACTGATTCTGCCACTGCCACCAAACCTCACAGACCCAGTCCCCACATCACCACCACCTATCAAACCCAACCGACACCAACACCAACACCACCACCATGCCAATGGAATCAAAACCAAACACCCAATCGAACCCAATACACATCTCGCCACCTAGTAAAAAAGCAATCGACACCTCCACCACCCATACCCAATCAAAGCATCACCATTGCCATCACCACCCAATTAAGAGAGAGAGAGAGAGAGAGAGAGAGAGAGAGAGAGAGAGAGAGAGAGAGAGAGAGGAGAGAAGAGGAAGAAAGAAAAGGAAAAAAGAAAAAAAGAGGAAGAAAGGAACGGCCTGGGAAGGGAGAAGAAAAGATAAAGGAGAGAAGAGGAAGAAAGAAAAGGACAAAAGAAGAAAAGAGGACGGCCTGGGAAGGGAGAAGAAAAGAGAAAGGAGAGAAGAGGAAGAAAGAAAAGGAAAAAAGAAGAAAGGAGGAAGATAAAAAAAAGTTTAACTTAAAAAAAACAATATAATTTTTTATTTGTCAAATTATACATTAAAAAAATATTTTTTAGAACATAAATTAGCAAAAATACACTTGAAAAATAATTGTACTACCAAACACGTTTTCATTGTTTTTGTTTTCTAAAGATGTTTTCTAATTAATCTACCAGACGCATTTTCATTTCCTGAAAATGCAAATTTGTTTTCTTGTTTTCATTCTCTGAAAATATTCTCAGAAAACACTCTCCGAAAACGTTACCAGACGGGCCCTTATTCCTTCCTCAATTCACCCAAAAAGATGCTTGTAAGTTGTAACAAAGGCTATATATTGCTCCCACTAGTGGATGGCAATGGCATATGTAGCAGAAGTTCAAACTTATTAAGCTTTGATGAAGCAATCTATAGCTAATTTGCTGAAATCAGGTCCCCTCCATTTTAAGTACATAGCATTTTCATCAGTATTTTCTTTTTATGGCATGTTTACTTGTTATGAATGGATATTGGATTGATTCCAATTCTTGTTTATCATGTGTTTAGCAACACACGGGTATTGAAATAATTCCAATTTTCGACTTCCCTGCATTTACTTACACATAAGAAATAAACAATTATATGGATTTCACCTTAAAATCCGTAACTGAATACCCTCAAAATTGAGAATGGAATCAACTAAGGGGGAGTAGTTGATCTGTATGGGTTCCTTGAAAGGCTAGGCAGTATTTTCTTGAAGACACTTTGCATATGCACAGATTCATTCTTCTTGAAATCATACATCTCAAACTAATAATTTACTTATTATCAATTTTAATATCTTAAACAGGGTATTGATGTTCTAAATGACATTGCATGGGATAGTGACAAAAAAACGTATTTTTGTAAGCTCCAACAGTTGGCTTTCTATGAAATCATATAATTGATTGAAATAATTCAAGAACTGGGTTATGGTTATGGATGGAACTCAATGTGCATCCAATTGTAATTATTGGGAGCGTCTAAGAATTGTGTTTCTGTCTACGTGCTTCATCTGATGATATGTGTCATGTGTTTGTTAGGGTTGTGGTATTCTTTTGTTCTAGGTGTGGGTTTTATCACAAAAGACCTCGGTTCTATTAGGAGTTGAACTACTTATTATAAGTTGTGATTTATTTAGTCAAGTTTCCAATGTATACACATATTCTCCAACACATATGTTTTGGCAGTGACCAGAAATTATTTATTAATGCAATTGAGATTGTTGCGGTCATAGTTGTTTCTACATGCAGTTGAAATTATTCATTAATGCAGTGACCGGAAAACTATGGCCGAAGTTGAGATTTTCCACAGAAGCTTTCCCTGTAAGTTCATTAATGCAGTTGAGATTGTTGCGGAGGTCCATTCTTTCAGATTTTCATTATCAAGTTATTATTTGGTGATCAAATGGATAGTCTATAGAAAGAAAAGAAAAAAAAAGGAAATCTTGGAAAGCTACTATAATTTTATTGTCAATTTGTCATTCAGACTCGTATATATTTGAAACATAGGATGCTACCTTATTTGAGCATCGAAATTCCCATATATAATACATGACTCTCAGAAGAAGGGGAGACTGGCAGAACATGTCACTAACTTAACATCTTCAATCGCCAACCTATCTTCCGGGAAAGGACAATCGACGACTTCTTTCTTCTCCGGCAACAAATCGCATGCCTTTGGAGTCACGTTGCTTGTAACTCCCGCAATATCGGTACAGTTCCATTGTAATTCCTTGGGCTTCTCAGTCAATGTGATAGTCACATTAGAAATGCAAATTCCCTTGAAAGGATCATTAGGAATTCCATCCAGCCTTGCAGAGTAAGTAACATTCTCAGCCTCAACCTGTTTGTAGTTGATGTTCTCGATCAAAGGCAATGCCTTAGGATCAAAGCTAGGGTCCGGGTGAGACCTATAAGAGCCAGTCATCCAGAAAACATACTTCATAGTCTTGAGGGTCATTCTTCTCACAAATATGTCTTTGACATAGGCTCCTCTTCCGCGGGCAGTTTTGATCCTCACACCGGATTGAGTACTAAGGGCTGTGATGTCCTCAGCGCGAACGTCGCGAATTCCACCGGACATCTCACTGCCTAGAGCAATGGTAGCACTGTCTGGTGAAATGCAGGTAAGTCTTCTGATCACAAGGTGCTCTGTTGGGATCCCGACTTTGATCCCGTATTGGTCCCATCCACTCTTTACTGCGATGCAGTCATCCCCAGAGACTATGAAGCAGTCTTCAATTCTAGTTTGTGAGCATGAATCTGAAAACGGAACAAAAATAGGCGCACATATTAACTACGTTCAAATATGACCAAGGAGCCAGAACAAAGTGGAAGCAAATTAACCAACCTGGGTCTATGCCATCTGTGTTAGGAGAGTCAATTGGTGCAAGGATAGTGAGCCCTTGGATTGTTATATTGCTGCAAATTCAAACCAGAATGTATACATATCAGATCAGTTTCATGCTAGTGCTTTTATAAATAAATAAAATATTTTCTAAAAACCCCTTATAAACCAAAGTGCTTTTCACAAAAGCATTCACGAACGAACCCTAACTAGGATAGAAAATCGATCAGGATAGATAAATGGTCAAATCTACCTGCTATATATGGGGTGGACAAACCACGAGGGAGAATTGACCAAAGTAAGATTAGATATTTGGATTTGATTAGAGTACATGATCTCAATCATGTAGGGTCGGGTTTCATTCAATTGACCTGCTTTGAACTTTTTCCACCAAGAAGCACCTTGCCCATCGATGGTGCCGTTGTTACCTAAAACACAATACCAATTTTGTCATTAACATAATTGACCCAAAATCACAGTAAATTTAAAATAATTGAGTCTGATATGTGATTAATTACCGGTAATTACGACATCGGTGAGGTTTGTTCCAAAAATGAGACTGCTAAACCTTCCACCAGGGGCATCTCTGCCTCTCCCATATGAAGGCAAGATTGGAACAAGAGGCCACTCTGACTCATCCTGTAAATTTGGTCATGCAAAACGGCAATCAATGGTAAAGGTGGTGACCAATTGATAAATTTACATGAAAAAGATTTGGGTGATAGGAGCAAAAGCTATTCCTAAAAGGTAAAATAAATTAAAGTCAACGAGTTGACTTTCTGCATGCATACAAAACATGGTGAGAAAGTTACTGTTTTTCCTATGTTTGTAGATTACTATAAATTGGTGTTTCTTTTTCTGAAATTACTAGGTCGGAGATGTTGTAGAGTACTAAATCAAATATGCTAATTATATGGTAAATGGTAATAAAATATGTACAAAAATTAAACCTGAGTTTCAAAAAACAATCAATTAAGCTAATTCTATGGTATAAGGTAATTACAATCAATCAAGTCTAAAATATTAAAGAAATTAAGGAAATATATTCGACCAAAAAAGGCAAGAGAAATAAACCTGAGTTGCAAGAATAACAGCATCCTTGTGGAGGAAAAGGGTGAAATGGCTGGTAAGGTTGAAGCTCCCGGTGAGCCACTTCCCCGGTGGCACGATAAGCTGTGCTCCGCCGTCAGATGCACACTGGCTTAGATGATTAATGGCCGCCTTGAAGGCCTTTGTGTTGGACGTTTTGCCATCGCCAACAGCTCCAAAATCAGTCAAAAGAGCACTGTGCTTTCGACAGCTAAGGGCAGAGTACTTGACCGTGCCCCGATTTGCTGGTGTTCTACATTCTGCAGCTCTTAGGAAAAAGAATCCCAGTATAAAAATGATTGCGCCGGAAACCTGTAATTAGAGAAGAAGAAGAACAACAAAGAACACATATTGTTATTATTTTCCATGTAATTTGTTGGACAAAATAACAGTGAGATATAGGGGTGGAAAGGAAACGTACATTGGACATCTTTGATTTTCCGTCCATGTTATACAAAACTGTGGTGTTTAGGGACAGAGAGAGTAGAGAATTTATATAGAGGTGCACCAATTGGTTAGTTGTTGTGGTGAGGCAATTTGTTGAGCCTCTTCTTATCTATTAGTTACAAGAAAACAAACTAATAAATGGTCTCAATTGGATGGTCTACTCATTTACTTTTTTTAGGGGTAATTGCAACTAATGTATTGATAGGGTACAATAATAGTGATTATTGCCCGATATTCTTGTAGTGTAATTGGTTTGAGGGTATCTGAATGGAGTGATTAGCGTGAGCTTTTGAAACTTATGCGTAATGTCAAACAATAAGAATCCGGGCAGATTTTTGATATGTATTCTTCTTCAACATAGATGAATATATAGCCATGTCCAAAATCACGAGTTACAATAGGAAACACATCCTGATTTTAATAGGACTAAAATTAAAAAGAAACTAAAAACAATCCTAATTCATTAAGGAATATATGATTCATGTCAACACATAATCCCAAACCAAACAGTAAATACCTCCATTTAAGTAGAGTAAAATCAGACGTGTAAGGAAAGTGTATATGGGCTGCATGTGGATTATTTATCAAATCAATCATAAATGTATGGGTCTTTGTTGCATTGCATTAGTTTGCTTGTGGCTTCATCTTTCTTTGGGAGACGATGAGATATATTGAGAACGGTTACCTCACCTAAACCTACTTCCCTCACCACCATTTGCATTGCCTGTTGAATAACATAAAGTTTTTGCTTTTGGCATACCCCGTGTCTTATCTGTGTTATGTCTAAAGAAACCTTTTTAATCT